CAAGGTTAGCATTCTGCTACTGAAGTATGTTATGGCTTCACTGAATTCTGCAATAAATTTCAAGAAGAACTTACCCTAATGCTCCACAAACTATGCAAAAGGATATGATGCCTGATGTGCCATCGTGGTGATGATGCAGGCTGTGGTTTAAACAGCATCCCTGCACCCCCATTGGCTTACAAAGATTCTGTTGCTGTTTTGGCTCATGATTGCATTATGAAATCCCAGAATGCACACACATCTATGTTTTGATTCCCCTCCTGCTCCCCCAGGGGTCCCCTCTTCCCATCTGTTGATGAGTCAGGAATTGCTGTTGGTTATCTGTTTACTGCCACACCTCTGCACTGTCTCTGCTGTTTCTCTGTGTCCCCGAGACCTCAGGTGTAGCTGCTGCTGATTTCCTGCTCCTAACACTCGGGATTGCTCCATCTCTGATCCTTCTCTGCCCATTTTAATGTGTCCTTCCCCTGCCCAGCCATCTTGTGTCTTCTTGCTCTCAATGTCTTCACATCTCATGTGGAGGTAATCTGTGAATAGAAATGTATCTGTTTCTTGTAAGGTTTTCTGCATTTTGGGCATACACTAGTTCATAATTTTATTGTTATGAACTTTTGTGTCATTGTGGTATCAGTTGCATCATCTCTCCTCTCTGCTTTTAATTGTTTGAATTGTAAGTCCTTTTATTCTCATCTCATCTCATCTCAGAGCTGTTGGATGCATGGTTGTGTACATGTCTTTCAGATCAATTTGATATTGCATGGTTTCACGGTCAACATTTTGCACAAGATTACCTGTGTACTTATGACAGGTGGTGTTGAAGTCCCCATTTTTAAATTTTGAAATACTAGTTTCCTGTTATATGATAATTGTTTTATAAGATTGTGTGCTTTCATATTAGGTGCATATGTTAATCTTAGTGTCTTAAGGCTAAGTCCATCCCTTGGCAATTACAAAGCAACCCTCTTCCACTGCATTTATTCCTGCTTCTGTTAGTCTGCTGTGGCTGTTGCTGTCTAACCTCTGCTACTGTTGTTTTTCATTTGCTTGGCAAATAATTTTGCCTCCTTCCAAATTCAGTCTTCACTTTTGAAGCGAGGTTGTTGTAGATAGCATGTTACAGGGTCTGATTTTTAAAAATCGATCAATTGGTATCTTTTCATTTGAAAATTTAACCAGTTTACCTTCAAAATTGTTGTTTTTAAGTAAAGGCAGATTATTATTATTTACTATTTTTGATTCATTTTGGTTTTTGCTTTTAGTTTCCTCCTCTCTCATTAGTTTTGTAATTTTGCTTTACTCTGTTATAAAGTTTGAATCCTCCATAATTCTGTTTTGTGTATCTCCCCTTTCATGGGCTTCCCGAAGCAGTATGAGTTTTGGGTGGTGCAGGGGTCACCACAGAGCTGATTCTCAGTCCAGAGTGCTTGTCAGTCTCTACCAGCGGAACTGGGGCCCAGGACCCAAGCACCCATTCAGTTATGGCAGGTTAGCACAGCTCCAGCAGTGGAACTGGGGCCCAGGACCCAAGCACCCATTCAGTTATGGCAGGTTAGCACAGCTCCAGCAGCGGAACTGGGGCCCAGGACCCAAGCACCCATTCAGTTATGGCAGGTTAGCACAGTTCCAGCAGCGGAACTGGGGCCCAGGACCCAAGCACCCATTCAGTTATGGCAGGTTAGCACAGCTCCAGCAGCGGAACTGGGGCTCAGGACCCAAGCACCCATTCAGTTATGGCAGGTTAGCACAGTTCCAGCAGCGGAACTGGGGCCCAGGACCCAAGCACCCATTCAGTTATGGCAGGTTAGCACAGCTCCAGCAGTGGAACTGGGGCCCAGGACCCAAGCACCCATTCAGTTATGGCAGGTTAGCACAGCTCCAGCAGCGGAACTGGGGCCCAGGACCCAAGCACCCATTCAGTTATGGCAGGTTAGCACAGTTCCAGCAGCGGAACTGGGGCCCAGGACCCAAGCACCCATTCAGTTATGGCAGGTTAGCACAGCTCCAGCAGCGGAACTGGGGCTCAGGACCCAAGCACCCATTCAGTTAAGGCAGGTTGTCACTATTCCACGTGGAAGTACCCAGTAACAGATATAAGCCACTATTATTGTTCTCAATTTATATATATTTTAAATATAACAATATATACTTCAATATAACAAAGTATTTTTTAATTTGCTACTTAAAATGATCATTGTTATTATCGAGTAAAATATATGTGTTTACCAAATAGACAAATTTTTTGAATATTTTCCAAATTGCTAACAAAAGCTAACTTAGAAGCATACTTAAATATGATTTATTTTTGTACATTTGAGTTAAATATACAAATAAGTTAAAATAAACAAAAGCTAAATTACACATAAATGTAATCCTTGAGTAGCAATTTATTACTATGTCATATATATTATAATTTTACACATGTTTATGTTTCACTCTTATAGATTTGCACTTTTTTGTTAAACAAAAGAATAATCAAATCTGTTAATTAAATATAATTCAACAAAATCAAAGATAAAACACACTTCCATGTTATGAAGTATCATATGTACATGCAATAGGGAAGAAGAGGTTAAGGCAAGAAGGAAAAAAATGTTTTGGTTTTAAATCCTAACAATTTATAGCCATTTGATTTTGACATATGCTATCTAAATTTTTTATTTGCCTATTTTTTTTTAGGCTGCTTAGATATTACCTGCTTTGTCTGTGTAATTGTTTAACTTAATGAAAATCAGCAGGTCCATACAGTCTTACTACAGAGAAGGGTGATATTAAATGTTTGACACGTTCTGGAGAGAGCATTCCCACATGCCAGTATTTTATGTATTTCAGTTTCATACTGAGTTAGGAAGACTTTCATGTGTTCTTAAGGTAGAATGGCATTCCATCACTTATTTTTTGTTATTTATCTATCCTGTTTGGCTCTAAGTTGAAGATTTTTTGCCAGTCTTGATTATTTAAGATGCCACGTAAAAATAAATGGAATATGGATAACAGGTTTCATTTGAGGGTTGAAATAGTATTTGGCTTGTGTTATTGAAATGAATGCATACTTGTATAATATCTTAATATAAACAGTTAACACCATTGATTTCAATATTTGTAAACAGGAGATAAAAAGCAGACATTGTTACTATCTTTGTAGCTTATATTTTTTTAAAAAAGAAATCTACAAATCAGGCTTAGTTTAGATTACTCTGTTTTAAAAACATTAGTTGAAATACAGAAATTTCTACGAGTCTGAAGTATTAGCATTGGTTGGATTTGTTTTAATGGTCAGGCCCTGTGATAATCGTTAAGATTTGGAGCAGGCATCAAAGGCTTGTATGTGTTAGAGACGGCGGTATATGTGTGAAGGTCACATTTGGCATTTTATTTATAGGTCGTGTATCAACTCAGTATAAAACAGCACCTAGGTAAATTGATGTTCACTGATTCATTCCAGAACCAGATTGTGAGGAATCTTAATACATTTACAAAATGTCTCAAATGGGAAGGTTTCAGTGTAAAGTCTATTATTTAAAATAATAACTAGCTTAAAGATGAAAAATAGTCATATTCCCAAGGGAGAGGGCAGAGTAATTCTCGCCTATTCTTCCTGAATTTGTCTTTTTTGGTGAGGACATTCGCAAAGAAATAAAGCCCATGCTTGTCTTCCAATGCCAGGCCCTCATAAAACTCCAAGGTTCTTCCGTTGATGTGTGATGTACGCTCATACAATATACTCAATCATGATGAAGTCCTGGTCACACTGCCCCCACACTTTACACTAATTGCAATTTTCCCAGTACTGTGACAATCATAAAAATGATTTTAAAATGCTTTTCGCTTATGGCCTTCTATGTAACGATGGAACAGACTGACAAGCAAAGGTCATGTACCATCAGCACAATAAGGACTAGAGGAGATGCGTTCAGGATGTCAAGGAGGTGCAGAGTGAGGGTACTTCCACAAGTCGTTCTGTGCCTGTGGGGCTAAGGCAGCAGGAATCAGAGGGCGGAAGGTGCAGCTTCCAGACAGAGGAGGAAAGGTGAGTGAAGGCACCCCACTGTGTCACCTCAGGGGCACAGGTGTGAAGGCTCCCCACTGTGTCACCTCAGGGGCACAGGTGTGAAGGCCCCCACTGTGTCACCTCAGGGGCACAGGTGTGAAGGCTCCCCGCTGGGTCACCTCAGGGGCACAGGTGTGAAGGCCCCCTGCTGGGTCACCTCAGGGGCACGGGTGTGAAGGCTCCCCACTGTGTCACCTCAGGGGCACAGGTGTGAAGGCTCCCCACTGTGTCACCTCAGGGGCACAGGTGTGAAGGCTCCCCACTGTGTCACCTCAGGGGCACAGGTGTAAAGGCCCCCACTGTGTCACCTCAGGGGCACAGGTGTGAAGGCTCCCCGCTGGGTCACCTCAGGGGCACGGGTGTGAAGGCTCCCCGCTGGGTCACCTCAGGGGCACAGGTGTGAAAGGTGGAACAACCTGGCATTGACTAGGCCGCCATGGACAGACAGCTGTTGATGAACACTTCCAAATACTGTATACTTTCTAAAGTTGCTTTATCACCAAGAACTACTTATTACTGCTCAGTTGTCCTCTTTTAGATTAGCTATATTTTGTGCTTTAGTCGTGATGTTCACCAAATAACACCCCTGTGTATCTGAGTTATACTTCATGCAAAGGTTTTGAGGGCTGTCTGCGGTCATTCACCAGCTTGGGTATAACTCCCCATGGTGCTTAGGACAGGTTAATTAAACTCTTCAACCTTAAGTTGCTTTATGTCTACAACAGAGATACAAAGAGTTATGCCTTGAGATTACATGTTGCGATGTTTTGAAGATGCTTAGCATCGTATGGTGCCTGACTAGTCCCTTTGGTAGAAAGCAGTTGTGATTATTATATCGATACATGTCAATTTTTCCTTTTGAATATGACTAAAATTGAATCAAATATTAGGAATAAATTACTTAGACTTAAATATTTGATTCTTTAATTATATTTTCTTCCTTTTTATAAAGGCAAAATCTCAAATATTATCCAGTGTGTTGGAGGCAGCCCATCAGTTCATAAAGGAAGCTACTCCGGATGAGCCTAAAGTGGATAACACTGCTATGCAAGAGAGTCGGCAGGAGCCCTGCGCACCTGTGCATCGGGGCAGCTCTGCGGTAAGGAAGGAACAGAGAACACTGTGTCCTGTGGGGGCTGTGGCAGTCACTACTCCCACCCTTAGTAGGAGCTGTAGAGTTTTACAGAGTATATTCCAAAATCATTCAATAAGGGCTTGGGTTTTGTTATGCAAATGTATCTTGACTGTAGGAAATCCTAGGAAATCCTTCTGACTAGAGTATTTGAGTTCCATTTGATGCTTATCTTTTCTTTTTCTTTAAAGTTTTGTTATTTAAAAGCCAGACTTACACAGAGTGCAAGAGACACAGAGAAAGGGAAATCTTCCAGCACTTGTTCACTTCCCAAATGATGAAAGTTTCTGAATCTGTGTCAGTGTGACGCTGGGGGGCAAAGAGCTTCTTTCAAGCATCCGACCGTATGCAAGGCCCACTAGCAGGACCCATCCCAGGCCTATCAGCAGGGAGCTGGAGCAGAAGTCGAACAGTCAGGACTTGAAGTAGCACTCGTATAGGGAGCCAGCAGCACAAGTGGCAGCTTTACTTGCTTTACCACCACACAGGAACACACTGATGTTCTGATGAGTGATTGGCCTTTTGGATAATTCTGAGATGATTATCTGTTTAGTTTTGACAAAGAAAACATTTGAAAAAATCAATGATATAATTTAAAACTTTCATATTGGACTCAGAGGACAAAAAATACAAAATGTTACCAAGAGTCCAATATATATGTTACCAAGCACTTCAGGCGACAAGTAATTATGGCTATTTAAACTCAGACATATGAGCCCAGTGTGGTAACCCAGTAGCTAAAGTCCTTGCATTTCACATGCTAGGATCCCATATGGCACCGGTTTGTGTCCCAGTGACTTCATTTCCTACCCAGCTCCTTGCTTGTGGCCTGGGAAAGGAGTCAAGGATAGCCAAAACTTTGGGAGCCTGTACCCATGTGGGAGACCTGGAAGAGACTCTGGGCTCCTGGTTTCAGATTGGCTCAGCTATGGCTGTTGCAGCCACTTGGGGAATTAATCAATAGATGGAAGATCTGTCCCTCCTCCTCTCTATATATCCTACTTTGCAATAAAAAAATAAAATCTTTAAATAAAACCAGACTCATGCTGAATTCTGGCACATGTTGAGGTTGACTACCAATCTTAGAATGTGCTGGACAAGCTTTTGTCAGTTCACGTGTACACTTTTACAATCAATCTGTAACACATTTTTACTAGCAGGCAGACTTCAGATTTTGACCTGTGTTAAAATCTTCATTCTTGTCGATGTCACCCACTTTTTTCTCCTGTAGTTCAGAAATAGTGACTAACTTAACAAGAGCATCCTGCTAACTGGTAACCAAGTTTGGAATGATTTCAAGTGTTATTTCTGATGCAGGTTTACAAACATACATTAAATGAGCTCTGTGCTTGGAGGATGTCTTTCCAGAGAAAGGGCTATGCTTGAATCTTCCATGGAAGTTAGCACAATTTTTACATCTTTCACCTTTGATAGATTTGCGGAGTGCTTTGTGAAGAATCCTCAGATGGGGTACAGACTGCAAGCCAACTATCGTCATATTGACAGCCAGACGCTGTCCTAAATATTTTACACACATTACTTCCTTTTGTGTTTTCCTTGTTATTTTTTTTCCCAGAAGGAAGGATAGCAGTAATGAACTCTTTTAATAACTTTCCAAAGATATCATTGGTGGTAGGACATAAGCGATATTCAAACTTGACCATCAACAAAAGGCTATGATTTACGAAGTTTCTTCTTGATACTTTCCAATTTACTTAATTTATCCCTCTTATTTTTACACAGGATAAATTAGTGACTATTATTTACTTAACATCTTCTAGGTGTTGTTCTTTTTCTAAACACTTAAGTTGATCAGAAAGCTAGACAGGAGGCTGTGTTTTTCATCCTTATAATAAATTCTTACGATGTTTGTGGGAAATAGAATAAGAAGATCATTTTTTTTTTTTGGTGCAAAATCTTTTGAAATCCATGCATAAAAAAGCTCTTTAAAAGAGTAACCGAGATGTGTTACATAAAGTATGCATGGATTTGAGTGATTTTTGCATCAAAATAAGCTTGCCTTTTCCATTCTTTTTTTTTAAGCAAATATTTGAAGTACCTTGTTTGCATGTTATGTAGACTTTCTGCCTCTTGTGTTAATTTGAAATCATTAATTCATTGGTCACTGTTATGACCAATTGCAGACCTGTTAAGGAGCTCTCCCAGTTGAGCTCAGTTTCCATGTGAGGTGTGTGTAGATATATGTGGTTTGGAGCCATTACTAGAGCGTGAGTTTTGGGTATTTACATATGGGATGCAGGGAACTCGGACAGCATGTGTATTCTTAGCTGAAATGCCAGGGCCAGGAATCTAATTTTTAATGAACACATCCGAGGAACTCTAATGGCTTGAAGAGTTGCAATGGTGCCAACTGGGCTGATAGGGTTTTTGAATGGGTTCCAACCAGTCGGAGGTGTCTTCCCAAAGGATGCACTTTAGGAAGGGACCTGGTATGTTTGACGATGGAACATGGATTTGAAGTGTTACTGCTGGTTTTCTTAGAGTTTTGTAATACTAAATATTTACTTAGTTCTTTGAAACTTCTGCTTTTTCCCCCTGGAAGTGGGGTTTTGAAAGAGCTCCTACAGTGGTGTCATGTGCTGGTGGTAATGGATGCACTGACTGCCAATCCAGGGGCTCCTTTGAGTTGGTTGTTCCTTTTACAAATCAGAACGCTTATGTGCAACTCTAGGTGGAAGCAGTATTTTATATTCTCAAATTGAAACGTTTAAAAGGCAATCTACACCCTTGATTTTTATTTTCTTTCTCAGTCTGCCACAGCTATGTGGAAATCAGGTACTCCAATTTGGCATATATTCAAGAGGGTACCAAACTGTTTCTCTACTTCGTTGCTAACAAGAAAGCGCTGGAAAGCTACTGGAATTCATTTTGTATTACGATAGCACGCATAATAGACACAATGACAATTTCCTACTGGATCGCCCTAAGTAAAATGCATCTGCTCTTTTCCCCAACCTTTAGATGCCACTGTTTCAGTTACCTCATCTAGCTTTCTAAGAGAACAAAAGCAGTTCTTTTTTTTTTCTTTAGGATTTATCATTTCTTTTGGAAAGTCATTTACAGAGAGGAGAGACAGAGAAAGATCTGTCTGCTGGTTCATTCCCCATGTGGTCGCAACAGCCAGTGCTGAGCTGATCTGAAGCCAGCAGCTAGGAGCTTCCTCTCGGTGCAGGTTCCCAAAATTTTGGGCCGTCCTCCACTGTCCTCCCTGGCCACAATTGGGGAGCTGGATGTGAAGTAGAGCAGCTAGGACATGAACCAGTGTCCATATGTGAATGCCGGTACATGCAAGGTGAGGACTTCAGCTACTAGGCTTCTGTGCTGGGCCCCAAAGTGGTTATTTTTTCCAACCCTTTGTCCTCCTCCTCAGTATTGGTCTGCTTCATCTGTCCTAATAGAATATCACAGGCCAAGTATTTTAAAGAAAGTTGACTTTGTCACAGTGTTGTAGACAACAAGTCTCAGATCAAGGGCTTGGAAGATGCCGTTTCTGGTGAGGCGTTCGTTGTTGTCTTTATTTCCAAGTGGCTAACTGCTGCCGTGTCCTTCCATGGCCTCTTGTCTGCACAACCGTGGAGACGAGGAGTGTAAAGGGAGAGTAAACCAGGAGAATAGAGAACCAGAGCATGAACCGGGACTGTGGGATGAAAGCTCCGCCCCTGTGACCTCCTTTGCCCTTAGGCTCCTCGTAGAGCCGTCTCTAACTGTGGTGTCAGAGGTTAGGGCGTCAGTCCATGGGGGGGCCCTAACTCAGCAGACTGCGGTCACCATCTAAAAATATTCCTGAATGTCTGCTCACCTCAGTTAAACGTGGCTAGTTTTGCTTTTTTCCTTTTTAAGACTAACAAGGTTATAAAGTAGCTGCTTTTTTTCTTTCCTCTTGTAGGAGTTAGTCAACGCTTTTGGTTTTCTATGTTTGCATTTCTGTATCCAAATCTTATATACTTCACATTGATCTATATACATGCTTTATACACTCAACACTATTATTTCATATAAGTGTATTCTGAAGCCTTCCCATTAAATGTAGAATGAAATGCTCCATTTATTGAATGTAAAATGATCTTTTAAAGTATCTAATTACATCTGATGAATATTTATGTTGCTTTTGTGCCAGCATAAATTAAAATATAGACACTAACTTTGAAAAAAATAGCATGCATATTAATAAAATAGAATTCTGAAGTTGCTAGGTGAAAGGATTACACATTTCTAAAGTTGGTTGATAGGGCCAAATGGCTCCATTATTTTAATTTTTTTTTTAATAAAAATCCACTGTTCATCTTCTGTGTTTCATGCTGTTGCTAACTTGTTAATGTTTGGTTTTGTTGCTTCCTGCCTGGAGTTTCTGTGTGGCAGCTGGGTCCTTCATGATCTGCTTCTGTCTGCCTTCTTGCCCATATGCTGTCATTCTTCGTTTGCTGTTGTGGGTTTATGGTTCTGCCCCCAGCTCTGTGCATCCCACAGTGCCGGTGGACTCATGGAGTGTGTCTGAGTCTCTCTGCTCTAGTGCCTTTAACATATTTTGCTTATGGAATTCCTACATTTTAAATGTTATTTATTTCCTGTAAAAATCATGAAAAGAAAATAAATTTTTCTTGTTTCATAGATACAGTTTTAAGTACAGTTCTTATTTTCCCTTTCAGACCCTGGTTCGGCTGCACCTGTTTCTGTTGTGTGTGCGCTAGCCTGGGTGAGATGGCAGCTCACACATCATCTAGTATCAAACAGGCTCTCCAATACAACCTACTTAGATTTAACAATTCTTTAACAATGTAGTCTCAGTGGTCTCTAATGGTTTGAAAAATTCTTTTTTCAGTTAAGGGCTGAACTTAGACTTAATCTTTTTTGTGTCTTAAAGACGCACATTGGAAATTGAGGAGTTTGATCAGTCAAAATAATCCACACTTGATAATCTTAGCCATTGGTGTAAATTTCATTTTGTTTGCATTTCTTAATTTGGTGGATTTGTTTTTCTGTTTCACTGATAGTTGCTGAGTCCTTCCTTCATTTTTTTTTTTTCTGGTTTCAGACCACATCTATTTACCCAGTTGACTTTGAATGAGTACTTTTTGCAGGGAGGTAAAAGACAGAATCCCCTTTCTCATTATCTTGTATTAATTTAATGAATTAATTGTATGATACAGAACTGATTAATCTCATCATACAGTTCCATAGGCTCTGGGACTTCTGTTATCTACCAATGGACAATAATCAAGCATGAGTAAACAAGTTATGAGGAAAACCCAAAAGTTGATAAAAGATCTTATTGTAGGGGACCTGGGAGTGTTGTATTTAGATCATTTTGAAACAGAGTGAGTGAAATATGAGCAAGGGCTGGATGAAGACACGGGAAGGCTGACTGCAGGCTTTAAGCATCACTGGCGCAAGGCTCTGAGGAGTGGAGGAGCTCCAGACACTGCTGCCGGAAGGGTGCTGGAGAGGAACTCCAAGGCTGGACACCCCAAAGTTGTGTAGGTGCTACATATCCTAGTTGGAACTTGGGGTTTCATAGAGTCAGTGGAGGGTGTGTGCAATAGTGACATTCTCAAATTTACATAAAAGAGGAACAAAACAAACAAAACAACCCTGTTCTTGCTGATGTCGGGAAGTGACAGGGAACAGGAGACTGGGGAAGCAGAAAGGCTGGAGACTAAGCTATTGTGACTTCAAGGTGAGAGCGCCAGTGAGTAGCATAATAAGTCATCAGGCTCTTGTTTCGATAATTTCTGAATGTATATTAGTTACTCATGATCTTAAAGAAAGATGTAAAAACAAACACAACTTTTGAAAGCATTTATTTGCGTGAGCAATACAGGGAGGAAAGGGGAAAGAGGGAGGGAGAGAGGAAGGCAGAGAGAGAGAACAAAAATGTGTAATATCTCCCAACTATTGCTTTATTCCCAAATGGCCAAGCCAGAAGCCAGCAGCTTATTCTGAGTGTCCCACATGTGTGTAAAGGGCCCCATCCACTTGAGCTGTGCCCTACCACTTTCCCAGGTGCATGAATGGGGAGCTGGATCTGAAGCAAAGTAGCTGCGACCTGAACTGGTGCCCCATGGGATGCTGACACTGCAGAAGGTGGCTCAACTCCCTGTGCTACAAATGCAAGCCCCGATAAATACACGGCAACAATATTCTTCAAAGTGTGTGGTTCATAATGACTAATAAATACTCGTATCTGCACTTTTTACAAACTTGAAGTTTAATCACGTGGTTTTTGTTTTAGGTAGACGTTGCAGTAGGGAAAAGAACAGAAAGCACAAGTCCGGGAGAGAAGCTCTCGTTGGAAGGCTCATACAGTGAGGCGGCTTCCGCCCAGTCCTTTCAGGAAGCCTTGCGTCAGTGGAGAGCTGGCAGTCATGAAGAGGAGAGACGGAACTTACCAAAGGCAGGTGCGGCTACCTCGAAAACCCAAATATTTTAAAAGAAGCATGAATTTATCTCTACACCTGGCAGCTAATTGCATGTTGAAACACTATAAACATTGGAGTAACTCTTGACAGAAGAGGTATTTCAGCATGTCTGTTGCTTCCTGAGATGCGCCCCTAATGTGTACAATGGGAGGATCTGCATGAAGCAGAAGTCAAGACGATTTTACGTGTCTCTTAAATTATGATTTTGATGACTAGTGTGGACTTTAGCAGGAGATGATCTTTTTTCTTTTTTTCCTTTTCGGAGAACTATTTCTTGATTTTAGCGTTCTTGGTAATTTTCACTTATGTATTCTAAACACTAAACATCGAAGTGACTGAAATGTACAGTAATTGTGTAATAAGTTTTCCAATATCTCTTGAAAGAAATTATTTAGTATTAACATACTCAATTATCGCTTTTATTACTCTGAGTATTTTCGGGTAGTCCAAGCACTTTCTATTGAAAAAAAAATATAAGATAATAGATTTGAATCATGTCAGTGACTTTCCAGAGGCAGCCAGTTTTGCGGTTTCCATTTCATTCATTTCCGGTGCAGGAATTCTTTCTCCTTTGTCACATAGTGTAATTCCTGATGCCAAGGTGTCACATGGCATCTTCTCGATGACAGCTAAATGTTTCCCTGTGCTATCTTAGTCGTGTCACACAACTTCATCAGTACTTTGCACACTGGTGGTGTGTAACCCAGTGTTTACCTCGGCTTTCATTGACTGATTTTGAGATGTAGATTTACAATTTTACTTTTATGCATTTGAATGCATATATGCATACAAATAGCTGCCTGTAAATTGTTTGTTCTGTCACCTTGGGTCGATGTTCTGCTGTACTCTAAATGTCGTGACTTAGAGTCCTCCATGTTTTAAAAGAAGTTACGAGGGCCATCTTAGCCTTTGGTGCGCTTGTACAGTGACCTTGAACTACACATTGCATGTCTACGTGTAGGAACGGCATCGCAGCGTTGGCTTTTCTCAGAAGAGCCTGAGGAATGTTCCCTCGCAGTCTTCCCGGCGGCAGCTGAGTTAGTCCTGCTCACAGGAGGTGCAGGGGATGATTGCTTCTCCATGCTGTTTCTTTAGCTTTGTAGATCCAGAGAGTAAGGAGTTATTCGAATATCCCACCCTGGACCCGGCGCCCTTTCCGCGTCCTCACAGCTCACGAAATTTGCGCCAGTCCATCCGTCCACCAATCAACCATTTCACCTGAGAATCCCACCCCAATTCCCCAGCCCCTTTCCCAACTCTGCCCGCTTACCAGTCATTCTTAGGCATCTGTGACGGTCTCAGGCACCACTCCCCTGGGGCCTGGCCTCAATCCCTCCCAATCCCCGCCCCCCCCTACACCTTGCAGGCACACCTGTCTGACAGAAAGGCCCCCAAGTGCGGCTCTGTCTTCTCCTTCCACCTGCCTCTCCTCCTCCCCCTGCCTCTCCTCCTCCCCCTGCCTCTCCTCCTCCCCCTGCCTCTCCTCCTCCCCCTGCCTCTCCTCCTCCCCCTGCCTCTCCTCCTCCCCCTGCCTCTCCTCCTCCCCCTGCCTCTCCTCCTCCTGCTTCTCCTCCTCCTCCCTGCTTCTCCTCCTCCTCCCTGCTTCTCCTCCTCCTCCCTGCTTCTCCTCCTCCCCCTTCCCCCTTGCCTTCCCATCACCCCATCCCGTTCCTGCCCACTGGAATAAACCTCCTAAGATACTCCAGTGCAGCTGGTGTTTTCTGCTCACAGTAAAGAACCAGTTGTGGGGATTACCTGTGTATAATAATATCGGAATAACCTATGAACTAGAACTCGAGCTGTTTTAAATAACTAATACAGAGTACCCTCATTTACCAAGCAGTTAAGCACAGGAATCCTCAAACGGGTTTATTGTGGCTCTCCTCTACTAGCAATATTATATTTCTGGAAATTACAGAGATCAATGCATTAATCAGGTTGAAAGATGGAGGGAAACTGCTTGGAAATATTTCCCTTTAATTTGTCCTTTGAAACAAAAGCCAGTGATATCAGACTGACGATTTTGCCAGCAACTTGGTTGTTTACAATAGTACAAATGACAGTTGCTTTGAGATTGGCAATAGTTGTAACAGACCCAGAGAACCTGTTAACCTTTTTAAAATCTGGATGATAAATATGTTAGCCTCTTCAGAGTATTCCAGACAACTTCCACTCAGCCTGGCCATTGTTGCATGAACAGTGTCACAGACCATAAGTAAATTCATGACTGTGTGTTTCAGTAAAAAGTTATAAATACAGAAATTTGAACTTTACATATTTCTCAATCATTGCAAACATAACTATGCTTATTTCACAGGTCGTGCAAACGTTGCCCACGGTCAGATCTGGCTGTGTTTTGTCTGGTTCCTGACCTAACAAATTCTTTTCTGTTCTATTTCCATCAGTAAAAGGAATCAGAAAATTTTATTTTTTCTAGAATAGAATAAAAATCTGCCTTTTATAAGCTCATCCCATAGCTGCCTGGACTCCCCTGCTTTCCAGCATTGAGTAGGCTGAAAGGACTGTGGTTTGTTTTACATGTTTGATAATTTTTATATGTTAGAATGACAATATGATGCTTGAGAGAGTTAGTGAGCCAGGATATCTGTCCCAGGATAATTATTAGATTCTTTCCATCATGGACTCAGGACACATGGGTTTTTATGGGAATAGCTATAGGTTTCATACAAAATTTGCTTTTACTGCCTACAGTGTGTCGGCCAGAAGGATTTTATTTAATCACCATGATATCTTATTCAACAATACCTTAGGCCAGGGCATTCATTTTATTGTGAAAAAGGTACAGTTCTCACGAAGGAATGTGCTATCTTACCATAGGCGGCATTATCTAGAGTTAGCTTGCTTAGTGGGTTTAGGGAATGGGCCTCTTGAAGGGCCGACGTGACTCAGATCAGAAGACAATGCCTTGTGAAATCGAGGTACATTTCCTACAGGGCTTTATATCCTATAAAACCCTAGTTATGTTCTCATGGAATGAGCTGTTAGGATTACCACCTTATCTGCTGGATCTTATTATCACTGAATTAATAATAAGAATGGGGAAGGTGCAACTTACTGCCCATGTTGGAGCACAACTACCGTTGGATGCATGGGTCACTTCTACATAACCAGAAAAGATGGCTTGAATCTGGAACACAGGAGGGCAATCCTACTGCTCCTTTATCTGGTGGTACTGTTTGGATGGGAACTGGCAGCACTGACAGCGGGGCTCCTGTGCTCTTAACTTCTTGGAGAAACAAAAGTGGTGAAGGTACTGGCAGAGAATATAGGGAACTTGGAATGGGTTTTAAAGGATGCTAAATCTAATAATGGAATCAATGTGGGCTTCAGAAACATTCAAAAATGGAGAACGTTGCTAAGTATGTTTCATATGGAATAATCAATGTTTTTTCTACCACCTTTTTTTTCTGCTAACTTATGTGAAATCCATCAGTGGTCATTTGTTTGAATTTGGGATTCGATCAGCAATGTCGCTATAATGAAACCTCTGCAATTCTTTGGCAGCTCCCCACTTTTCTGATTTCCTTGTCTCCTCCCATGTTGGTCCACCATGCTCCTTCCTTACCTCTCTGGTCTTGGTTCTGAGTCCACAGACACCGGCTCCCCAGACCTGCCCTGTGCGAGTTCTTGCTGGGTTTGTCAGTCGGAGACACAGCATGCTGAACAGGGAGGGTCTCGGCAGAAGCACGAACGCTCCCTCTTCCTGTGCTGCTGCTTCAGGATGACGAGATCTTCTGCTTCTGTCGCAGTACTTCTCAGAACAGACTTCCAGGGACCTTCAAACCTGTTACCCTCGCCTAGACTGATTCCAGCCACCCTGGACTCCTGCTTGTCCTCCAAACACTATTGGCATACTTCGACTTTAGGACTTTTTCACTTGTGATTAAGGAAAATATCAATTATCCATGAGAAGTTGGCACTCTTCACAAAAGGTAGCCACCAAATCATGAATCAAAACAGGAAAATCAAAACTCAAATGACATGGCTTTTGTGGCAATTCCCATGAGCTCTGCCACAAATATTCATATAATGTTTGCTGATAAGCATACTAAATAAGAGCTACCTTGTTAAATGTAATACACTGCTGAATGTTGTCCTCCTGGAAATATGATCAGTCTATTTGCTGAAAGATTTAGTAATCAATCTATTCACAAGCAAATTAACCCCAGGTCACCTCCCTGAGTGTGTGACATTGGCAGTGAGAGAAGTGAATCCCAGACCAACGGCTTTAACATCCTTGTAGCTGTGCAGCTGCGCCTCTGGCACGGCGACAATGGCCTCGACGAGCGTAGGGGACAAAGTGAATCCTGTTTTGTTTGTTTCCTTTCTTTTTCTCCTTCACATCTTTCATATTAACATTTTGTGAACAGTGAGAAGGAAGACTCAGTAAAGGTTTAAGTTTAGTGGATTTTGTTTTTTCTCTGAATTTTATCCCCCCCTTTTTTTAAACCCGGCTTCTCTTTTTGGAAAGACTATAGAGAGAATGACTTCTCTTAATATTTGTTGTTTAGTGTTTGGGTGCAACCAGAAACTAATGAAGTTCGCAGTATGAGATTGGGGTACGTCCTAGTTTTCAGGTTCAAAAACATAATTTTCTGTCTTTATTTTTCCGATTTCCCTCTCCTGTAAATCCTGGATTTATGCTGCCTTCTCTTAGAAGGTTCTATTCATTTTGAGGATATCTGAATAGTGACATTAATTTAGTCGTACTTCAGTCATCTCTTGAACATCTAGAAATAAATCCCTATGTTGGTTTTGACTCAGGAGGACCACTGTCTCCTTAAATCTCATGCTTACTACATGCTTGCTGTTTCCCATCATGTGCAAATGTTACTGGCAGTGGCTTTAATTTGTGGCTTCCTAAATGCAGGCGCTTATAGAATGTTCAATGAGTTTTGTAGTTTTCTTTTTCACTTAAAAATCTGCTTTAAAATAAAAAAGAACCTTGTGAATAGTAAGAGCTTTTGTTTTAAGGGATTATTGAAGAGAACACTCACCAAAATAATCAGTAAATTATCATTTTTTTAATGCTTAGCATTATTTAAATCATAATTCATTGCCTTAATAGATATCGAATCATATGTGCTTCAAAATGGTGTGTTCTGTATTTTGGGGGAGAGATACAGAAGATGGAGTAACTTATACACATGCTTGCTTTAACTCACACACTTACGTTATATTGATTTTTACAGAAGCTTTGGAAGAATGTGAGGTGCAAACCACTCTGAAAATTTGGAGAGAACCACTTCATATTGAATTTAAAGAAGACAGTCTATCCTACATGGAAAAACTCTGGCTTAAGAAACACAGGAGGTATTTTTTGAATTGTTATTAATATTATTAACAAACATTAAAGCTGTTTGTTTCTTGCTTATGACATGACTCTGGTAGCAACTTGATATTTTCATATTTGCATAAGTAACTTAAGGCAGTATTAAATCCCTCTAAAGCTTCTACTGTTCTGAGAATTTTAATTCTATTTTTATTTGTAATGCCTCATTAATTTAGAATTTGCCTTGAGAAATAGAAATATGTTGGGGGAAAAGCACAAAATGGTACAAACCTTAAGATAATCAGGAAACACAGAGTGATAAATGAGATTATATTGCTGTCAGCTTTTCACATTAGCCTAAGTATTTGAGATAGCAATTCAGAATCTACTTTTGAGATAATTAGACCTTTAATAGTGATCAAAGATATTTTAGTCAAAGATTATATCATTACACCTACTACTTCATAAATTAGTTGGAAAGTAAAGTATTATGATGTTAAACCAAAACTATACATGAGTATATAAAGTGTAGCCATCATGATCGTATTAGATAAGGTCTATAGATTCTCAGATCCGGGAGATACCTTAATTATTTTGTTTTCTTTGTAATTTTTTCATTTGAAAGGCAGAGAAACACACAGAGAAAGAGAGGCCGGGACAGGCAGATAAAGATGTCCCATCCAAGTGCTTGGAATGTCTATAGCCAAGCAAAGCTGAGACCAGAAGCCTGAATTTCAGCCCAGGTGTCTGATACGGCCAGCAGGGTCCCAAGATCTTGAATACTGGCTGTGGCTCTGCCAGGGTGTACATTACTAGAAAACTAGAGTTAGGACAGGAGTTGGAACTTGAACCCTTGCACACGGACGTGGCCCATGGATACCTGAGGTGACGTCCTGACCACCACGAAAAGCCGGCCACTGGAGGTATCTTCAAAAGCCACAATCTCAGGCTTCCAGACAGCAGAGCTGCCCACATGGCACTTTTTCTGCCAAGCACCTGGAGAAGGTGCCAACTCTTGCTCAGTAGATCTGAAGTAGGGCCAGGATGAGTGCACTCCTGAATTTCCAATAGCTCCCAGGTGGCCTTCTGCGGAGGTGCTCCCTCCTGGGTTCAGTTTGAGGCATGCACAGGTGGAAGAACTCTCCGCAGCATGCCTGAGGAGGGGTCTCTGAGTCCTTGCTTTTCTTCAGGCACACAACACACTCTCCTGTGAGCAGCCATTCCATCTTCAGAATATTCTGCCTAGCGTGACATCTCCTAGCAAGCTATAAGCTGTCTCTATCTAGTTTCTAAGCTTCATTCTATAGCATGCCATTAAGAAAACCCATGTTGAACAAATAACCCATATTGTTTTTTCCTCTTCATATAATCTCTTCAGATTCTGAAAGCCAGCTCTCTTATTTCCGTTAATACTTCTCATTGAAAGATTAATATCTATACCATGCTTTCAACTGCCTTTTAATATAGCAAGTTTTAAGCATTTAAAATTATGACACAAAATATACAGTAGATTTTCAAAATAATACAAAGAATTCCAAGGTATGATTGACTCAGGTTTCGGCGACCAAATGTCCTAAACAGCTGTGATGCCTTTGTCAAAACCAAGGAGCTGACATTGGCAAACTAATCCTGGATAAGCCCTCGATTTACCAATCATTCCACTGATGCCCCTTATCTTGTTTGAGAATCCAATCTAATCTCATCCAATTAGATATTTCATCAATTTTAACATTTTTATTTGATTTTTTCTTTAGGCACAGGATTTTTTGTTTCCTCCCTCCTCATTCCCCTTCCCCCACACTGATTCTCCCTGTATTATTACAATAGAATTGTCTTGCAGCAACAGTGACAAGTGCATCATTCTCTAAGTATATTCTGACGCAGTAGATATAGACAATGGTAGAAAGTGCAGCACCTTACTGGAAAGATATATGTAGCAGGTTCGTTGGAGTCCATCTTATGTCAGAGACCTAAGGTGCACTGCATCTTCACTTCTTGGTATAGAGGCATGCATGTTTACCTAATATGTGTTTATCTTATGTTTTATATGAAGGTTGCTTTATATCAAACAGAACATATGATATTTGTCCTTTTGGGATTGGCTTCCTTCACTGAGCATAGTGGTTTCTAGTCAGGACCATCTTGTAGCAAAGGGTAGAATTTCATTGCTGCTGATGGCTGAGCAGTATTGCGTAGATGTGTCTTGGATTCTATGTCCGTTCCTCTTTCAGCAGCTTCCGGGGTTGTCTCCATGTCTTGTTTTATTTCCATTTCTGTTTCAGTTATTCAGCCTTTCTGTTTGATATGACCTCAATATTTCAAAATATATTTTCTAGATGTTTCACTGAATCTGCACACTTGGGTACTGTCATATGTATTTTTTTCAACATTAGACTGCCCTTATATGCTTTGAGTAAAAAATATCAGTGGGTTGGGGCTGGCGCCGTGGCATGGCAGGCTATGCTTGTGCCTCTGGCACTGGCATCCCATGAGGGCACCATTTGAGTATTGGTTTCTCCCCGATTATGACCTGGGAAAGCAGCAGAGTATGGCTCAAGTCCATGGGCCCATGTATCCACGAGGGAGACCTGGGACAGCTTCTGGCTCCTGGCTTCTGTTCAGCTCATCTGCAGCCATTGTGACCACTTGCACAGTGAATCATCAGGTGGAATCTCTAACTCTGCCTTTCAAATAAAAACTAAATTAAAAATAAAAAAAATCTTTTTGTTAGAATACCAAAGGCAGGGTATGTCTGTCTCATAGATGGTGAGATTATGATGTCACTACAGCTTCTTTGTGATTTTGATCTTGATCTACATTAATCTATGTTGTTAAAGAGTTTCAGCAATTTTTGTTACTTACCGTGTGACAGATGCTGAAGGGTCCTCCCTTTGATCTTGTGGTAGTGGTTCAACCCATGAGTACTCTCAGGTTCCCTTAGAAATTGTCCGTTAAGGTTTGTCAATAATATGGCAGGTTTCTAGTTCTTTTCAGTGAGTACTACCTCATATCATAACTTTTACTTTCATCTTAAGAGAAAAAATTAATGTGTCATTTAAGATTCTTTTGTGATATTTAGTTAATTTACAGATTTGTTTTGGTATGTTAATATTCTGTTACACCATCCTATTTTTTTTTCATAAGTTAAAGAACCGATACAGTTTCATCGTTGATTCTGTATGCTCATCCATTTGGCAAAGATAGTGAGATCTTTTGCAGGGCAGTTGAAGTGATGCATGTCAGGTTTTGAATTGCTGCTTTGCTGTTTTGTAGAACTCCACCGGAGCGGCCTCTTGGTGTGGTTCCTGGTACACTTACAACCCTGTGCACAACCTCTGGGGAGGTCCAGTGTTCTCAGATGGAAACTGATGAAGACAGAGATGGTCAGTCAAGCTGCAGTTTGATATTTTTAAATTGTTTAATGCCAATTTATAGACCAAGTGTTAGTTAGCATCTATCTTTGGTTTGTTGTATTAGTCTCAACTGGATCTTGTAACTGTATCTGCAGATAAAAAGCATACACTCTTTTGTAGATTTACTTCACTTGAATTTAAATAGTTCCACTTAAAAATTAATTCAAATATATATTTCGGGATCTGGCGTGGAGGTTGTGTTATTGCAAGTAGACACAGGGTGACTATTTCTTTTACTCCTTCTTTATTTTTGAAGTAAAGAAACTACCACATAGAGTACATTCTTGATGATGTGATTTTATCATCTTCCTGGTTAAAGACACAATTGAAAACCCAGTTTTTTTCTTCCAGTAGAAGAATTAAACATTGAGAATCCAGAACCATCTCTGAAGATAGTCGAATTGGACAAAGTAAGTGTGAGATTATTATTTATATTTCTTTAAGAAACAGACTTTTACCATATGTGGTGAGGGCCACAGTGGTCTCTAGCCAATGGACCACCCGAGCAAGCAGGTGGGGGATATGGCAAGATACTGTGACGGTGAATTGCCGGAGACAGATTGGAGGGATGCCTTTCCATATATCAAGCACAAGCTTACATCAGGTAAGGCAGAGAAGATAATTTCTGGGGTAGTAATAGCAATCCCCATTACTAGAATTGTCCATGGAGCCTACAGGAGCTCACCAAGTCCTGGGGTGCCTCTGTGTGGGCTCCGGGTGTGTGGGGCGTTTAGGCAAACAACAAGGCATGAAGACCTCCAGATGTACACCTGGTCCCCGGAATATTTTATGTGCATGCCAAGGCCCGGAGTTACTAGGCATGCTGGAAGCCACCCAGGGCCTCTGGCTCTTAGCGTAGGCCAGATAGACTAAACCAACAGGGCACAGGCTCGCCTGCAATCATATAGCTACATTTCATATTGTTCAATAAGAGCTCGTATAAGTCAACATAATTTAATAGAAAGTTTACCAGTGCTTATATCTTCATTTTATATTCAGAATTAAGAAGTGAGTAATGAAAATGTCTTCAAAAACAATTCTTTGTATGTGGGAGCTAAAAAAAGAGGAAAGATGTCTGTTTAGTCATCAATGTTTTATACATTGATCATACCCATACTATACTATTGGAATCAATGTGATGGTCTAACTTGCAGTGTTTGCATCCCTTATGGGCATTGGTGCTGTCTTGGATGCTCCATGTCTGAACCACCTCCCTGTTAATGGCCTAAGGAAATAGTAGAGGATGGCCCAAGTTCTCGGGCCCCTTTAGCCACATGGGAGACCTGAAAGAGACTGCTAGCCCCTGATTTCGAATTGGCTTAGCTCCAGCCATTGCAGACATATGGGGAACGAGCCAGCAAATGGAGGATCTCTATTTCTCTCCCTGCCTCAATACATCTGCTTTTCAAACAAAAATACAATAAATCATTAAAAGACAAACAAGAAATGATTTCTTGCTGCTGTAGTTTTAATGGTCTGTGATAACTTTATAATTTGCTGTAACTGGATGGAATAATAACTTTCTGGTGTGGCGTTTATAGCCATTGTTTATATTTCCGCCAAACTAAGATTTTTTTGTTTGTTTCATTTTACTTTTTTTTTTAACTCGTTACAATTCTTACATCAGTATTACGCCTTAAGCTTTAGAAAGTATTAACCAGCGTGAACCTATAATACATTGTAAAGTTAATAAAATGAAAAGCGTGGAGTATAGAAGGGAGAGGAAGCAGGAGTGGGGAGCTGGTCACTATGTTCTTAGAATCATATCCATAAATCATGTTGAGTCTGATCAACTAAAATAAAAAAAATAGATAGTTAAATGTGTTTAGCTCTCCCAGAACAAGTGTTAAGTGATAGTTGGTGCAGTCCTGATGTCACCCACAAATTAGCTTGGTTAATGTATAATAAGCTTTTAAAGAATACTGACACTTTGTCCCATGTATTTAATAAGACGTGTGAAGAGGATTTTGGAGACCCAGGAAGCATTGTACCCTACAAAGTGGAATTGGCTGATGCAGATTATCACCGATGGTAAGATATGTTAAATCTCTTCAAACGTTTATTAATACACACACACCCCCCTGAGCAATCACCTGTTTAAATGAGAAATTCATGGAATCAAATTCTGCGACTTTCATTTATGATAAATGTTTTAAAGAGTGAGGTTTACTGCTGTGCTTAGCAATTGTTTTGTAGAATTCATAAAAGTAATAGCTAGATGTCTAATTTTTATTGTTAAAATGTACTGCAAGTTGGTTTGTTGTGGAAGTTTTAGGATTACAGATGGTTTGGCCATCCAATATTATTTTGATTAAATAACCTTGATAACAATTCTTTGTTCAGACGAGTTAAGTTTTAAACATTTTGCAGCAGCTGTGAGCTTTAGTAAGCCTCATGTTTAGACAAATGGACCCACATATCCAGCAGCAAGCTTGCTTTTGCCAGCAGGATTTTGGCTGCAGATCCATTCTTTTTTTTTATGCTCCGATAAGAGGTTTATGTCCACTACTGTATCCCTAGGGAAGGATTGGCATTTGTGCTTTCTGGCTTTCTTTTTTTTTTTTCTTTCTTTTTTCTTTTTTTTTTTTTTTTTTTATTCCTTACCCCGTATTTGACTGACTCCCAAGTTAAGTTTTAGAATTAGTGGAGAAATACTGATTGAGGTTTGGCAGTGGATTCCAGCTTTGGTTTGGAGGTATCACGGAACAATATTGTTTCGATTTGTTTCCTGGAGATTCAAAATGTCAGTGCAGCAAGAACCTTCTGGGTTAAGTAGACTCCGAGTCTTGTGCTGGCACAAAGGACTTGATTATGAGTATCAGGTTTTAATAGAATGGATTATTTTATACAAAGGGAACATTATTTAAATTTTTACTATGCTTATAAATGGTAATAATTATGAAAACTGAAACCTAAATACTACAAATGCCACATGCTGGTTTTAAAATTGCATAGCTAGCCCATTGGTGAACTAATAATATATTTATATAGTAATAAAGTCTTGGTTTCATTGCATTTCAATGAGGTTTTAAAATAACTAAGTTTTACACCAGAAAATTTGAGAAATCAAATTTATTTCAGTATGCTATAAAAATAAGTTTGAATTGAAATTTGCAGGTGAGTTATATTTTATCTTTTATTCTTTGTTTACGTTGTGTTTATTACTTGTGGTTTAAGATGTGGGCACAGTAAGGTCCAAGCTAATCTAAATTAATGGAAATAACTCTAATTACACGAAGATTTACTATATTTGCTTTACTGACATGTGACTTTTGAAATTTTATTTCTCTCAATCCTATTCTTTTGCTTTTCCCAAAATGTGAAAGTTGTACATTTCATGAATATCAGAAGAATAGCTTCCCGTATGACAATGACATCCACCATCATGTTTTCAACAATGGAAAAATGGCTCACTTGCATCTCTGTCTGAGAAACAGCTTTACACACTGCAAAGATGACATAAAAGGTAGCCCTTTTTGACTTTTACAAAATCATCAACAATGAGTGTTGATAGATAATAAAGGCAATAGTTATCACAAACCATAAAATGCTAATCTATATTGCCAGGTCATATTAAAACCAGAAAACTTAGTACTCCAAAAAAAAAAAAAAAGATTGGTAGAAGCATACAAGTTTCTATTATACAGGCATTTTTGTGTTTGTAAGAATAACAAAACAAATTACAATTTCTTTACTGGTTATTGTAGGTGAGACTAGCATCGAGCAAACCTGTTAGTGACCAAGGTCTGGACTGCATCCTGAGCCCTCATTGGTGTTAAATTCTTTGCCCCGAATGAATGCTCAATGTATTGTTAAATTTGATATGAAGTAAAGCCTAAAGAAACAAAATGTTTTATTCTTGTTTGTGTATTTGTTCGTACTGATAATTTCCATGCAGTTGATAGTTAAGAACAGCACCTAAAAATGTGTGTTTCCTGTTTCCAGGTTGTGAGGTCTTCATTTAGAGAGAGCATGAATTACTTGCCAGGGGTCGGATATTGTTTCCCCTCCATCTTTAAATGACCTTGCATGTATCACTTCCATTAGACTTTCTTTTCCTCATATGAAATATAGGAACTAGACAATTTTCAAATTTACTTTGAAATAATATATTTGATCTAAATTGTAAGAAAAAAAATCTATAAACACATCCTACTTGAAGAATCTGAGAAGTTCCCCGGGGCATTATTGAAAATTAATTGTTAACATGATGGATACCTTCTAATTGGTCAGCAGAAGGTTGACAATGGTGCACTATGGTAATTGTGCTAGTCTTGTATTTCCAACTACAAATCCACTAAATCAAGCATACACACACGAGACCAAATGTGCTGTAGAGAGCAAATGCTGTTTGAGCTGGAACAGGGCTTCTCATTGCCTCTGGGAAGAAGGTAAAATGAATGTCCACTTAAATGTTACTTAAAAGATGCATTTCAAAAATCTCATTTTTTCCTAACACCTTTTCCTTCACAGCAAAATTGAGCAGAAAATAAAGAGTTATCATAAATTGTTAGCCCTCACAATACTTAGATTCTGCATTGTCAGGATCTTGCTCCAGACTGATTTGGTTTGGGATGTTCATGAGCCTGTATTGTAACATTGCCAAAGTTCCACAGGCTACTTGAAATCTTGCTGCCAACGCTGCATATTCTATAGGCTTTGTTTATCAGAATGTCTGACATATAGCATTGACTCGGGCCAGTCTGTCCTAAAGGTCTTCCCCTGCTTCACCTGTATATTGCCACACAACCAGAGCCCAGCTACTGATGGTTATAATGATGATAATGACGACGATGGCAATGATGATGACATTTTTACCTGAAAGGCAGAATTCCAACAACTGGAGGAGGGACAGAAAGATGTCCTCCATCTGCTCATTCCTCAGATCGCTTCAACAGTTAGAGCTGGGCAGGTCCATGGCTGGGAGCTAGGAGCTTCTTCCAGTTCTCTCATTGGGTTCAGGGGACCAATTCCTTTTCTTTTCCTTTCTTTTCCTTTCCTTTCCTTTCCTTTCTTTTCTTTTCCTTTCCTTTCTTTTCTTTTCTTTTCTTTTCTTTTCTTTTCTTTTCTTTTCTTTTCTTTTCTTTTCTTTTCTCTTTGCTTTGCTTTTTGGTCATCTTCATAATTTTACCTCTTTCAGAATATAAAATAATTGGGATCACACAAAATATGAATTTTTAAAATAGTTTTGTTTGACTTACCAATCTACTCTGCTTTCTCCCATGACTTTTAAAGTCTCAAAAGCTTTCTTTTTTTAGTATCTGTGATCTGTTTTATGGATGGAACTCATTGTGCTATTTATCAGGTTAATATGTTAGTGTTATTGCTTGCAAGCTTTGACAGCGGTGGGAAGCAGATATGAACAGTCTATGTGAAATTCTGCTTGACGTACTTTTTAAACTTCCTCTGGGTAAATACCAATGAGTATAACTGTAGGATCATGAAGAGTTTGCTAGTCGTGAGATGTTGCCAGTGTTTGTCTATGCATCTGGAACTGTTTACATCCCCTACTCCTCTGCATCCTCCCCAGGATTTGGTATTGTCAGTGTTTTAGAGTTTTTCCATTTTAAGAACTGTGCAATGATAACTCTTGTTTCAGTTTCAATTCAGTAGCAACATACAATGTTGGAGATATGGTGCTAATTTACGCTCTGTGTATGTTCTTTATTCAGGTATCTGTTCAGGAGTTTTGTTCGTTTTAAAATTGGGTTTAAAATTTTTGTTGCTGGATCTAAAAAATTGTGTGTGTGTATGTGTTTCGGATACAGCTCCTTTATCAAGCACATCTTTCCAAATGTTTTCTCCCAGTCTTCAGAGTCTCTACTCATTGTCTGGAGAGTGTATTTTTTGTTTATTTTACTACTTCTTCTTATATATTTTTTAAGTGTAGAAGTTTTTACATATTAAGATTTTATCAATTAAAATTCTACAATCTTAATTGGGATTTATCAATGATTTGCTATTGTATTCATAAATTCATTTATGTTTCTCTGGGTTCCTATGTTTGTAACTTACATCTATTCTCTGATTTTCTTTGACTTCTTCCTGAAATCCTTTTGGCATGTTAATGTCCATTCTCTATGCCACCAATTATTGAAAAGCTTATTAATTCTTTATTGTTCTTGCCTTTTTGTCAGTGATAGGTTGACTATTTTTGCATGGCCTATTCTGGGTTCTCTGTTTTGTTGCTTTGATCCTTTGATTTTTCTCAGTGCATCATTGTCTTGATTGTTTAGACTGATACTTCTTCAGGAGAGTTGTCAGTCCTAGTACTTGTTCTGCTTCCTTTCGATTGCTTGGCTCTTGTGGGTTATTTTCCTCCCAAAATAACTTCAGAATTAGTTTGTCAATATCCACAAAATCAAGTGAGATTTTGTGTGGGATTTCATTGAATGTGCAGATTGAATTGAGAGTAGCCAACAGCTTGACCATATTGGATCTGCTTATCCATGGACATGGAATATCTGTCCACTTGTTATTTTATATATTTTATTAGAACTTTGAAGTTTTGCTTATATAGTTGCATTATACCTATGCATTTCATTTTAGGGGTGTTCTAATATAATCTCATATTTTAAATATCTAATCCACTTATTCAGTAATGGTTTTTAAGACATTAATTTAGTTTTGCTTGATAATTTTGTATCACACTGTCTTTCTACATCATGTGAGAACCAAGACAGTTTTATTTCTTCCTTTTTGTTTTGTGTACATTTTGTGTAGGTTTCTGGTTTCATAATTAACAGGCATGAGGATTGAAAAGGAGTGAGAGAATGACCTTCTTGTAGTAAGAATACTTGCTGTGAAGTAGGATGTTGGCTGTTAAGTCTCCTTACGTTAACAGATTAAGGATGTAACTTTCTCTTACTAGTTGTTATCATAAATTGGTGTTTAACTTTTCCAAGCCATTTTTTTCTGCACATCTAGATATGATCACAAGCTTTTTCTTCATTAGCTAGTCTGTGTGGCAAATTAGAATAATTAATTAATCATTGTTGAACAAAAAGGCAAAGTTTATGACCAAACAGGGTTTATAATGAATAGGATAAATTTTATTATACCTTTACTTTATTGTATTTAAATTTAATTAAAAGTTTTTTTTTTAACCCTTCCAACAAGAATGAATCTCAAGAATGGAATTTTTCAATCCTGTAAATGTTTTAAGTAGTGAGAGATGTCTCAATGTAAGATACAACATATTTTTCTTCCCTAAATCATGTAATTTCCTGATTTCAGATGGAGCTTCCTGAATTGTTCTGGAAATTTCATTGTATTCAATAGCCTCTGCAATATTTTCTAATAAAAGTATTTTTTCTGAGATACAAGTTATTTCATTTTTTACAGCTTTTGAGATATTTATGAAGTAGTGGTAGTTGACATTAAAAGCTCTAAGTTGTAGTGTGCAACTGTGAAGTTACACAGACATTTGCTTGTGGTAAGTCCTTGTGCTGTAAAGCAGAATTTACATAATTGGAAATATTTTGTCCAAGCCTACTATGTTAGATAGCTAATTTAGAGGGATATTTATTTGGAAAAGAGAGTAGGGAACAATAAGATGAAGTCTTATTCAATCTGCGTAACAATATACATAGTATTATTTAAAAGGAAACCATGGCACAATTTTTTTTAAATGGTCATTTTTCAGAAAATCTAGACCAAATTTTGAGCACCCTAAATACATATTGTGATCAAGGGAAAGCTTAGTTGGGGAAAGTAGAAAAAAGATTGTTGTGAAAGGCCTGTTTCCTATGTCAGATTCAATTTTAGAATACCTTTAGATGATCCAATTGTGTGTCCAGACTGGAAACCAATGGTCTAAACCAAGTGATTTATTCAAAGCAGACACACCGAGGTGAGTAAGATAACCTGCTCATTTTACTGCCTTCCTGAGGCAGCTGTCACAGCTCCCCATTTTTTTGTCCCATAAGTACTGCTTGGTCGATTTTCCTTTGCCCTCTAACTTTCAGTGTTACAGTAGATAAAAGAGGCCACATGTGTAAACATGTCCCCTGTGCTTTACTTTTATGCATTTTTGTGTAACATTTGAGTGGCAACAGCAAGTGGGGAGGTGGGATTAAACCACAGAATGAAACTAAAACTTGCTTTAATTTCAAGATTTCCTTGCAAAACAAAATCTTGCCTCCTTCAATTAGGCTACTTCATTAACATTTGGATGTTTGAGTTAAATTATTCACAGTAAGGCTATTTTAACCCTGAAATTTCAAAAAGAAATTGTTAAAAATGACATTTAGTTTATAGTATTCATCTAGAACTCTTAGTTGATGAACAGTTTATTTATGTGTTTCTACTTATGCTTTATACATGTGCGTTTTCAACAGCAGAATCTCCACGTTCAGATTTGGACAATATGGAGGATCCCCGTGCTTACTCTCCTGACACTGACCTAAAAGAAGAAAGCAGTGCTTCTGAAAGAAATGTTAAAGAGAACAGTGTAGATGTAGAAAGTAATCAGAAATCTGATTGTCACTGCGTATCACTTGAGCATGAGGATTCTTTGGAAAGTCTAGATTCAGAAAAACCTTCCATTGATGAGAAAGCAACTCAAGACTTGAAAGAATCTTTGGGATTTGGCAGTCTGCGTAAGAGGCCAGACTTTGAAGATTCTAGAACTGCACACTCAGTGCTGGTAAATGTCTGTTTTGTTTATCATGCTAAAATGTTTGTAAGGAATTTCATAAGAAAGTGTCACATAAACACAGAGCATTTAATGCATAAAAGGCTTCTTTATCTGATCATGAGGTAATTTAAGAGTTACCAATGGAAAAAATTCAAGGACTTAAGGACAAATTCCAACATGGTGAAAGTAATCTTGACAAGTGGATATCTGTGATGGATTATTATGATGAATAAAGAGTAGAGTAAGATTTTTACAACTTTTAATGTTGTCACTAGTAAAGGTGAAATAATTACATCTTTGGAAACAGTCTCTTGTTTAATGAAGGCAGCATGCAGGCAGTCTCAGGATTATTTTTTGCTTTTTTGCTGGCTGTGAAATTGTCTTCTGTCTCTTCTGTCTTGCTCTGATCTTCCTTATAATTGCTACAATACAAGCTATTTATTTAAATTCATCCTCCCGGATACAAATTAATTTGCTTATTTTGTATTTAACATTTTATTTATTCCACCAACTTAAAGTTTCAATGCAAGTATTTTGAATGTTTGATTGACCTTTATATATGAAGCAGTACCTTGGTCCTAAACTTTTGATTGCTTCCTTTCTTTCTTTAAACACACAATGTCAGAGATTGTGCTTTTCTCAAGAACAAAAAGCACGCTTGTTTACTGTACAATTTAACCCAGATGGTGCCTTCCTCTAGAGTGAAAATTAATGAACTTTAAGTCTGAATCAAAAAGCGATTCAACCATAACAATAATCTCAACACAAAAGATAAAAGAAGCAGTTCAGTTAAAGAAAACTAGAGCTGGAATGGTAAGAGTGTCCAGGAACATCCTCTGTCATGCTGAGGGAGAGAGCTGTCTCAGGTCCTGGAGAAACAGGAGTGTCCCCTGTCATGCTGAAGGAGAGCTGTCTCAGGCCCTGGAGACACAGAAGTGTCCTCTGTCATGCTGAGAGAGCTGTCTCAGGTCCTGGAGAAGCAGGAGTGTCCTCCATCATGCTGAGGGAGAGCTGTCTCAGGTCCTGGAGACAGGCGTGTTCCCTGTCATGCTGAGGGAGAGCTGTCTCAGGTCCTGGAGACACAGATGTGTCCCCTGTCATGCTGAGGGAGAGCTGTCTCAGGTCCTGGAGACACAGGCGTGTTCCCTGTCATGCTGAGGGAGAGCTGTCTCAGGTCCTGGAGACAGGCGTGTTCCCTGTCATGCTGAGGGAGAGCTGTCTCAGGTCCTGGACACAGGCGTGTTCCCTGTCATGCTGAGGGAGAGCTGTCTCAGGCCCTGGAGACACAGATGTGTCCCCTGTCATGCTGAGGGAGAGCTGTCTCAGGCCCTGGAGACACAGATGTGTCCCCTGTCATGCTGAGGGAGAGCTGTCTCAGGTCCTGGACACAGGCGTGTTCCCTGTCGTGCTGAGGGAGAACTGTCTTAGGTCCTGGAGAAACTACTGTAGTTTCTGTTCTGAGACATCTGAGCAATTTCCCACCTCACTAGGAATAGCCTCTCTTCTGAATTACCAACGACAATTTGCTGCTGTTCCAGTGTGTCCTGCAGACTCATACACTGGAAAGCTGATCCCCAACGCATACATTTTAAGAGCTGTGAGACTGTAAAGGACCTGTTTAGCTCGAGACGGCAGCCATCGTAAGCGAAGAAGTCGGTGTAGTGCTCCCTTTCTGTCTTCTACTTTCCACCATGGAAGGCTGCAGCATGCAAGCTCCACTACAGCTGGATAATTTACTGCCCAACTTCCAAAATCATAAGCTTCTTTTCTTTACAAATTACACAGGGTAAAATGTTCTGTTACAGCAACAAAAACTGGACAAGAATTTAAACTAACCTATGTATGTCTTACTCCTAACTCCTTTTTCATTATAAAAAGCCTATAAGTGTTGTAGATGAATTTTAAACAACTGTTACAGAATCGATAGTATCTAATTATTCAGTATCTGAATTAAAATTTCACTGAGCCAGGATGTCCTAAGTGGTTTTATTATGAGACTATGTATATGTATATATCATATATAACACATACATATGTATCATTATATAGGATATTTATATGCAAATATATAAATGATATATTTGACGCAGAAGACACCCACATTTTATCTTGAAATTTCCTGTCCCAATACTTTCCTTTTGATCCTGTTTCTTGCTAGTGCATGAGGTAGCAGATGAGATAGCTCAGCTATTGGGCCAGTCCACCCTCATGGAAAACCCAGATGGCATTCCTGCTTCTGGCTTTGGCATGGGCTAGCTCTGAGTCTGTGGGCATTTGGAATATGAACCAGAGGATGGCAGATGTGTCGGCTGGCCTATCTGTATCTCACCTTTCAGATACTATGAAATGTGCTTAAAAATAATAAACCAAAATTTTCAATCTTACCCAAGAAAGAAACTAAGAATATCTCAATAAGCATGGAAAAAACACTGGACAAATTAAAAGCTTCTAGTAAAATAATAAAGAATAGTATCTATAAGCATGTTAAAGGACATTTGGCAAGATGCAGAGTGATGTAATATGGTAATTGTTTTAAGGAAAAACAATGTACTCGTGACAATAAATAAAGCAAAATTTTCCTGATTAACATGAATACATCAAAAAAGGTTCTTAAAACTTAAGTGTAAAAGTATACTGTGAATATAAATGCCATATTTTTGCAGACATTTAATACAGCTTCTTATGGCTCCAAAAAGAAGCAGTAATTCTCAAAAACTTGTATTTTGAATACAGCATATCGGTATCAATACAATGGTGTAACTAAATCTGTTAAGCCCTAAAATTGCTTGGATTAGTTATCTGCAATGAAGTCTTAACTACCATTACTAAATTATATGCCCAAGTTATGTGCTATGTATGCAACTACATTTTAAGTGTATTTCGTAATTAAGAAAAACAATTCTTATAAATCTAGTAATTGTGTTTTTACCCTTTTACTTTTGTAAAAAGTGTGTACCTTTGTTAAAATTCACATTCCAAATGATTACATGAGCAGTGTTTTGTAAAAGTTATCTTCTACAAGTCATGGGAAATCATATTATAAAAATTATGTATAGATTTCATAAGGGTTTTGCATCAAAATAAGCTAATTCAATTTCCTCATGAGCTGTTGGAAGCCCTCATTTATAATGAGTACTCAGGAATAATTATCAGCGTTTTCAGAATCACTGTCACCAGATTAGTAGGTCAATCAGAATGTCTTAATAAAATTCTTACGGATGTTGAAAAGAATCTGCAGGTTCTAATATTTTGATTGGGCACTCCCTTTGTCTGGGGTTTTAAAGTGTGTCTGCTATTCTGCTTTGGAGAACCCATGTCCGTTTGGATTTGTTCCTTAACTCCTCTCTCCCATCTTTTCTTTTCCAGTGAGCTCTTCATGCAGTGCCATCCTTGCTTCTTGTTTCCAAGTCTGTGTGTTGTACACTCATGGAAAGTGTTTCCTACCTCTCTCAGTTCAGGGAGGAGTAGGGAAGCATGTGTTGCCCTCAGGTGCTTACATTCTGGTCCCGTTTCCACGAGAGCTTTCCAGTTAGGCGATTGATTCAGTGATCTGCATGTCACCTAATTTCCAGTTCTCTCAGTTGATTTGAATCTTCAGGATGGCTGTGACTTTCACCGCACGCCTGAATTTCAGGAGTGCACCTTTTTTTTTTTCTTTTATAGGGTAATACCAGCCTTTCTAATTAGTGCAAAAGGGGTATTACTAAGTTAGGATGTTCGTTAACAGGGAGGTGCACCTGTTTAGGACACATTCCTGCTGTATTCCATTTAGCACTACAGAATTGGTTAACATAAAGCATGCTGTGACAGAAGCTAGTTTAAGAAACAAGTTAAATGCCTGTGATGCATAAAGTCCTCACCAGCTGAAACCCTCAAAAATACCATCATGAAGTGGCTCCGTGAATGTTCTGTTTTCCACTAGGTCACAGTAAACTCAGCCCTTCATATTAGTGCTTTATTCATGGTGGGTGTTCACTCGGAGGTCTTGCAGGAAGAATGTGTCATAGGACTCAAATTTCCAATTGGTTTACTTTATGTTTTATTTGTTTGAAGGGCAGAGTGCCAGAGAAAGACTTCTTCCATCACTGAGTTCACTCCTGAATTGCACAGAACAGCCTGGGTTGACCTGCCTAAAGCAGGATCTGTGAACTCCAACCATTGGATCTCCAACACCTGTTGCCTTCCAGGGTATTCATCGACAGGGCTGGAGATACGTGTGTAATTTCATCCCAAGCACTCCAGTGTGGATCCTAAACATCCTTGAATTCTCAGCAGTATAATGCGAAGTTTCGGGGTTTCAAAGGAGTCTTCAATAGACCAATGGCCCCTAACTTGCATGTTATCATTTTTAATAAACAACATTTAACATATTCCAAGATGATTTTATCTGAGGGCAAAAATAATGCATATTTACAGAAAATTGTTTGCCACTTTCAATAGGCTTTAAACTGAAGAGACAAGATTCTCGTTGAGCAGCTTTTTCACCAGCCTCCGACATGAGTGAAGGTGTTGGGTCATAGTTGGGAAGAATTTAAAAGGCTCCACAACCAGTGGTGGCCTCCAGGGACCCACCAATAAGGAAGTTTTTCTAAAGCATCATTGTTAGGGCGAGCGAGGGAGATCCTGCTGGCTACCAGTGCAGGATGTTAGGCGGAGTCTTTGTTGCAACAAGTGGCAACAACTGCTATTGCCTTTTAGTACTCAGGGAACGATCCCCTCCATTGCCAAGGCCAAAGTCAGGGTTTTTTAAGTTCCTAGGGATATCTTACAATCAGGGATTATTTTTTATCAAGCTATCCTATCAGCAGATCACATTCTTTTTGGCACGTGATACAAATCATCCAACTAACTTAGGAGGTGCTCGGTAAAAATTATCCAATCAGCTTAAGTTCAAACCACTTTTTAAACCAATCAGCTAGCAAGCAGAAGTAGATAGCTGTGGTTAGCTGTGCTTGCACTAAGTTAGGAAATCAACGTGAGGTCACATCTGCCCAGTGCTGTGGGGTGCTGTCTCCCAGCTGTTCCCCACCACACCCTCAGAAGAATTAGAACTTCACAGTTCTTAGATTGAATCCTTCTAGAATACTTAGGTCACTGGATCTACTTTCTTCCTAGCCCTTATGAGTAGATTTTTTTATTCTCCTTCTACCACAGTAGAATTCATTCCACCAGCGGAAGTTTTTTTGTTTGTTTGTTTTGTTTTGTTTTACATTTAGATCTATTTTGCTGCAGTAGCAAACTTGTGTTTCTGGAAGCTGCGTCAGTTTTCAACAGTGCTGTGTGCTGGCATCCGAGTGTAGTTAGGCCACTTAGTTTCCGCTTTTGATTTCAGGAATTGAGTGTTTCATTAAGAACAACTACCTAGTACCTGGTAGGTAATTGGGAAGAATATGGCTCCAGTTCCTTGATTCTGAAAGCGTCAACATGTACCTTGGTGAATTTGGATAAAATCAAAACAAGCTATTGCCACCATTTTCTCATATGTTAAGCCTGCCTTTTAAAGCAGATTTACAAGTACAGAATCCAAATATGAGCTCCATTAGACCTAAAGGAATTCAGTGGTTGATTGTTACCTGGGAAAAGCAGGGAAGCCACCTGGAAGCAGTGAAGCTGGACTTGTCTTTGAATGATAGTCTCCACTGAGTAATCACTAGATTTTATATTTTCTCATGTGATTTATAAATTCATATAGACCTATAGCACGGTGCTTTGCATTGTTTAATTCATTGGATCTTACTGTATTGAGATATAAAGTATATTTATTAAGAATTGTTAGTACCAGTAGCCGCTTGGATTGTATTATAATCCTACCTACTTCTGTTACTTTTGAATTCCTTAAGATTCTTCTGTACGTTTGTGGTGTATATGTATGGGTTAATATCAGTTCTACTCTATTCTAGAATAAGAACATATTTAAGAATTTGAGAATGAGGGTTTACATTAATGGTTAAGATGCTTGTGTTCTATGTCACAATACCGGTGTTGTGGCGAATGGAATGAATGACATCAAGATGCAGGCAGGATAATGTATATTCCAACATAACTGATGAGCCGAAGACACTAAGGGAAGAAAATAGGTAAAGGAGAGAAGGGAAAGCTAAATCGTATTTTTATGAACTTCTATCACCATTTGATTTAAGACAACTTTCAGTTAATTGTGGTTTATATATATATATATATATATATATATACGCACACATATATGTATATCTATATATATATGCTATTTTGTCCTTACTATTAGAACCTAAAGTTGAAGAAGGCAGCATTCATACCGGGTAGTCTATAGATATTTGATGAGAGATTGTAATTTCTTGTTTTGATGAGGTAGAAAATAAACTTAATTTTGTTGAATATTTTGTTTCCTAGCAGTTAAAAGAAATAGCCCTCAGAAGTAAGCCTGTAATTCAAAAATATCAAGGACTTGAGCGATTCTTTATTTTTGGTACAAATGAAAAAGTCAACTCACCTTCTTGTAGCTTATCATGCACCTGTTCCACACACAGGAATACATTTGCAGGTAATCAGAAATGATCAGTGGACCTAACACATTTCTAACTCATTTTCTTTTAAAACAGTTCTGATCTTCTGAAATACTGGAGAAGTTAGTTCAATAAAAGTAGTAATTTCTTTCTTGCCCAGCTTAAATTGTTGATCTTGTATGTGCTGACATATGTGAGGTATTCAAAACATTCATGGAAAAGGTGTATCATGAGCACATTATGAATGCATTTCAAATTTTTTGTGTCCTAAATAAACCTATGCTTCAACTCCATTTTCCATGAACTTTCTGAAATATTCTCTTGCATTCATATTTAAGGCTATTAGTATAATGTGAAAAAATTATTATAATGAAACTGGGGAAAGCGTATTTGTAAGTCTTGGAAGTGTTGCCCTTATTGAATTATAAAATAGTAGAAACAGTTCTGTCATGTTGTCCTAGTAAAAATATAATGATTCCTTAAAATCTAATCTCAAAATCTCAGTGCTGGTGAAATTTCTGAGAAATCTGATATCTGTGCTTTTGAAAAGCAAAGCAGCAGACAGGAAGATGGAGAGACAGAGACAGACAGACATTGATTTCACCTGCTGGTTACCTGATTGCCTATAGTAGCCAGGGTTGTGCCAGTTTAAACTTAGCAGCCAGACATAACACCGATCTCCCAGGCTGGTGGCCAATCACTTGAGCCATCCGCACCTGCTACCCTGTGTAATCTGAAGCTGAGTTCAAACTGGGCTGTATGATATAGAATGTGAATATGTCAAACTGTATCTTCACTGCTTTGACAGACCTCATTATCCTTAACCATTCCTAAAAGGTGTAGTTTAATAATATTAAAATCATTTACCATATTGTGTCCACCACTACCATTCTTCCATGGAACTCTACATCTTCAATAATAAAATTCTATTTTCAGAAAAGTGTAATTCACCGTTCCCCTTCCTCCAACCCCACATTTTGTTTGTATGATTTTGATTACTTCATAAGAACAGAATCATATTGTTTTTGGGTTCATGTGTATTTGTATGTGTGTAACTCATTTAGTTTACTTTCTGCAATGGCTCCAAGTTTCATTCATGTTGCATCATGTGTCAGAATATCTTTCTATAAAACACACACACACACACTAAAGCATTAGCAAAAGTGAACATAGACAGTCTGAAGTATTGTCTGCCTAGCTTCTCTCGTGTACCCATCAATTACTCTTAGGAGCACAGTTTGAAATGTCATTGCTCAAATGGAAATAGGATTTGTTTGTTTTTAGAATTTCTTTTTCAGAATGAAATGTGGTATTATATACCGCCAATGTGGTGGTATAGCACACACATCCTCCATCTGCTATCACTGGTATCCCATATGGACATCAGTTGGCGTCCCAGTGCTCCATTTCTATTCCAGCTCTTTTTATGCCCTGGGAGAGCAGTGGATGATGGCTCAAGTTCTTGGGCCGCAGCAAACTCATGGAAAATCTCAGAGAAACTCCTGTCTCTGAACTTCAGATCAGTTCGTCTCTGGTTATTACAGTGATTTGGGGAGTGAACCAGTTGTTGGGAGATTTCTCTCTGTATCTGCTTTTCTCTCTGTAAAATCTGCCTTTCCAAGAAAAGATAAACCTTTAAAAAATACAAAATCCCTTCTTTATTAACATTGAATTACAAATGGAGGCTGAGTTTAGATTTATTTGTGCTCTCCATGAAAATACTGTGGCTTAGCAATGACAAAAGTTCCATCCTTTTTAAGGCGAATTAGTATATTTGAATTAGTATAGTTCTGCATATGCTTTGAGTCGTCTAGCAGTATGTCTCTGAAAAAACTATCGTATCCCTACCGAGTAGATCTAGGCATCTTGTAAAAATCATTTGATTATCATATAGGGAAGTAGAGACATTCCAGTATGTATTCACTCCAGAATAAAAAGGATGACTCCCAATGAAATTGTTAAATGTACCTTGACAATAGGATACTAGACAATTCATTATTGTCCATGCCTACAATGCTGTGATACACTAAATAACAGAACTTTGGACTTGTGTCTGTTGTTGAAGGATTATTCTATTGCAGTAATTTTAGGAAAATCTCTGTAGTGGAGAATAAAAATATGGAGGGGAAATCCCTGTGCCTCTGGAATGTTGTGACAAAAAAATACTAGGAACAAGATTTTCTAAGAGTGTTGTCCTAGTCGGAAATATTTTAAACCAGAAAAATGCTCTTTTCCAAGTGCAAATGACTTCTTCATTAAGTTATGATGTTTCTGTGAGAATGTCAACATGATAAATGAAACATTTTTTGCTATGCAAGCTTATAAGTCACATGTTTAAGTAAATCATACATTTATGTATTGTGGAAACACAAAATAGTTACTGTATGGGCCAATAAACCTGAGTGGTTTTTTTTTTATAATTATTACAATTGGACTTTCTTTCTCAATTTCTTTTTCATGTTCTTTTTAATTGTTGGTATGTAGAAATATGAGTTTTGCTTACTGAGTTTAGTTTTTTATTTTTTCTTTTTAAATTATTTTGCTTGGACGCTTTAAGGACAGAACCAGGGTGAGTCAGAGAGAGAAAGAGTAAGAGAGAGGGAGAGAGGGACAAAAGGGACAGAGGGACGAATGGAGAGAGAGAGAGAGAAAGAAAGAGAGAGAGAGAGAATCTTCCATGTGCTGGTTGACACCCTAGTTGGCTGTAACAGTCAGAGGTGGACTGATCCGAGGCCAGGAGCCAGGAGCTTTTTCTGGGTCTCCCACGTGGGTGCAGGGTTCCAAGGCTTTGGGCCATCCTCAGCTGCTTTCCCAGGCCTTGAGCAGGGAGCTGGATGGGAAGTGGCACAGCTGGGATATAAACTTGTGTCTCAATGGGATGCCAGCTCTGCTCTTGAGGAGTAGCTTGCTAAACTACCATGCCAACCTCATGTTTAGCATTTTTTTTTTTGGTAAACAGAGATCATATTATTTGCTAATGAAGATATTTTTATTTATCCTATAATCTGCATGATTATTTTATTTTGTCTAAATACTTAAGCTTCTAAGTGTTCTATAAAAGTGGCGAAAGCATGCTTTTTTGCCTTGTTCTAGATCTAAGAGGAAAAGCTTTTGCTTTTTCACTATCAGTTGGAGTGTTCTCTGTGGGTTTCTATAGAGATTTTATTGTGTGGAAATAATTCCCTTCTATTCTTTATTTGTTGAATATTCTTTTTAAGAGTATTTAATTTTGTCAAATGTCTTCTCTGCATCAACCGAGGCATTTCTATATTGTTTTCCTATATTATATTAATTATACTGTTGGATTTTCTTATGTCGAATTACTGTTGTATTTTTGCAATATGTTATGCTTGGTCATGGTGCATAGCACTCAACATGCTGTTGAATTTTGTCTGCTCAGGTATTGTTAAAAACTTTTACTTCACTGCTCATTAAGCATACTAATTAGTTGGTCCTTTTTCTGTACTGTTTTGCTCACTTTTGGTATTGGAACAGTTTTGTTTTTCAGAATTTAGAAAAGTTTGAGGAGAACTGATGTGGATTCTTTTACTAGTAAATCCTAAAATATGGGCAAGTCTGTGATTTTTGATTCTTGATTCAAGCTGCTTGATAGTTATACTTCTCATGAGTCTTCTGAAAGTTTCTAGAGAATGACATGAGTTTCCAAAACTTTTGACCAAAATAAATTTATTTTTTCTTGCATTTATCCACAAGCTTTTCAAAGGGCATTGGTATACTCAAGTTTTGATTGCTTCGTGACTTGGTTGCTCCTTTTAAAATTTAAGTCATTGTGTTATTTATATTCTTCAATAACCTATTGTTTCTGAGTCGTTTGTTCACGTGTGATTATTCTTGCATAATCCAGGGGGGTGAGGTGGAGTTGCATGAGGCACAGTTGTTAAAGCATCCCATTCCATGTTAGAGTTCTGAGCCTGGGTCTCAGCTCCGCTTGGCTTCTCACACTGTTCCCAGGGGAGATGGCCTCTGATGCTCAGTTAGGTGCTAGTGCCCATGTGGAACATCATCCCATGTTAGAGTTCGGAGCCTGGGTCTCAGCTCCACTTGCCTTCGCACACTGTTCCCCAGGGGAGATGGTCGCTGATGCTCAGTTAGGTGCTAGTGCCCATGTGGAACATCTGGATTGATTGCTGGCTCCTGGATTGCATCTGGCTCTACTCTAGCATTTGGAGAATGAATAAGGTGATGAAAGATCGGTCTCTCTCTCCATCTGTGTCTCCAAATGTTTCAAACACAAAATAAAATAGAAAATGATTATATCTTATACTGCATTGCTATCTATTGTCTGAATTATTTCTTCCTATTATAAGTGTATTATTTTTATAATTGACAGTTTAGTTTTTATTTTCAGCAATCTTAATTTATTTGCTTTTAGTTTATTTTTATGAAATTTACTGTTTCATAATGTATGTGCATATATATAGTATTGTTAAGGATAATGTTCAGTAATACAATGAACATATCAGGCCCCTTTTACTGCATGTTATATTATTTCACTTTTCTTTTTAATTGCCAGGGGACAAAGAGTGGATCCCAAGTCACAGCTTAAGTACACAGGCTGATCATGCAGTTTCCTTGGATGTTCTTCAGACTGTCCAGAAGCTATCAACTGGAAGACGACAAAACACAGGTAAGACTGGCTTCAAGGTGGCAATGCCACATGGATGGCTCAGGTTATTTACATTTTAGACCTTAACAGCTTAATTAAACATCTGAAAATTTCTTTTTAATGGTACATTTTCAGACCTAAGCATTTAAGCTAAGTATGTTGGAGTTTTTTTTTTTTTTCCCAAAACGAAAATTTCGGAACTACAAATAATCTCATTATCCTAGGAATATTTGAATTATTTCTCCAGGGAATTCTATGTGTAAAATGCAGTTCAGGATAAGCATATTTTAAACAATCCTTATGAAGTCTTAACTTGTGTTTTACCCTCATTGTCTATATCACATTTTCTACACTTTTCCACTTGGTTCATAGCATTATGAATCATATCCATCTGCAAATGATTGAGTTAGGTCAAGTTTGCTGCTTGTAGCTGAGTTGTAATGGTTGGATTCCAACCCTGATGCTGTGTGTGGCTGCTCTGGAATCTTGGTTTGTATTCATTAGTTCTATTCAATGGCTATCGTAGAATAACTCTTTTGATATGGTGAAAGTCCATTATCATACTTGTTGAATGCGTGTGTTCAGGACAAATACCGGCATTAAGATAACTAATATTAAGTCACTGTTCATTAAAAATATGTTCTTTGTGCTAGATTTCATATGAAGTAACAGTTGTTAATAAATTGTGGCGTGTGTAAAGTATGTTCTCACTGTACTAGACCCTAGCAATAAAGCAATGCCTACATCATGATCTCGGGTCCTGGGAGCTCAATGTTTTAGGAGGAATATTGATGAAATATATTGTTTAGCTTTGTTTAGAGGCAATGCATAATTGTCCATATGTATTCCTCTCTGTTGGCTTAGCTTCTGTCTAAAACTCGTCAGTAAGCGTAGATTCTGTTCTAAACATATTTGTTTGAAATCTGTCCGAGGCATTAAAAATAAAGCCTATTAATACACAAACCATTTATGGCTTTTTCCCTGTACCATCCTTAGCTACCTATTTTAATATCAAAGCCTACAGCAGCTTTAAAATTCTCATTGTTTCATTCTAGGGTAATCGGAGGGAAATTTTAAGTTGTTGTATACTGAAGAAATCAAGTTCAGATGTATGCAATGAGGCATCCATTACTAAGATAATATCTTTTTGCATGAGTTGCCAAACACTTTTAAATATTAATTCGGGCGCCTCAATTAAAGCCAGTAATATTTTGCAGACACATTGTTGGGACCTGCTTTTGACCCTGGGATTGAGATGATCTCTTTCCACACCCGAGTGCTTGGCTTTGATTATGAGCTCAGGAGTCTGACTTGGGCTTCCTGGATGTACAGGTGCTAAGAAGCCGTAGACAATGGCCCAGACGCCAGGGTCATGGCCGTCCTCTTGGGGACACCTCCACTGCATTCCAGACTCTCAGCTTCAGCATAGCATTTGGCTAGTGATCCATCAGATTAATGTTCCCCCTGTGAGACAGGCTTACACTTTCCTTGTGTCTCTTGAATAAAAAATGTTAACACAACAAACATTTGTTAGATCATCCACCTTAGTCGAGGGACTATGGGATGAAATAAAACTTTCTCTTACACCCTGGTATACAGGTTCTCAGGGGTTCATATGTCATCTGGGAAAACTGGCAATGTATTTTCTGAATCTCTGTTTCAGAGGTTCTTTTCATTAAGGCTAGGGAAAGACTTAAGAGTTTGCATTCATTTTATTAACAACTTTGTGTTGTGCTTGTCTAGTCTAGAAATTTTATGTATTTTATAAAAATCATATTTTGGGAAAAACAATGCATATACTTAAGCATGTAAGCTATACCATTTATAAGTTTTATAATATACTTTTGGTGGTTGATAAGTAATTAGCAATTATGCTCACTATTATTTATGACAGTGGAGGTTCGTTCATATATATATTTTGTTAAGAACAGAAATAATGACTTTGTCATTGAAAATACAGATGCATGAAAGATCTGAGAAGCCATGTGAATTTCAGTTGAAACTTTAAAAAATAATAACTTCTCAAGGGAACTGTTAGACAAATAAAATATCCTTAAAATAAAATTTTGCTGACTGTAACTAGACATTTTGAACTGATACCATGATATTAATAAACTTCCATCTTATAATATTTTCAAACTTACAAGAAAAGAAGAAACATGGCAGCTAGGGCATATTTGTGTATTTATCATCAAGTCCATTGATTCTCTCTCCACTGCTCAAACAGCTTTGCCCCTGTGACCTCATCTTCGACTGTCAGTCAATGGCAGTGTAATCAAACAATGACTAATTCCATGGCAGTCATCTCGGCTGTCACTCACATCTCACTCATGCCAAGTTCTGAAGATTTCTGCCCCCAAGTGAAGCCCACACCGAAGCACTTTCATTTTTTCCTGTTCTAGATGAATCCAGGCATCTGGTTTCATAGGTCCTGTTTCCTGCACCACATTCACACACCTATAGTTATTTTCTGTCCAATTATATTACCAATATTTATATTCATAACATTACTCATGCTGAAATTAAGGAAGTGACTGATATTTTAAATAATTTTATGTCATTTCTTCAGTGCAAAGCATCCCCAGACATCCCAAATGTACTGGAAGTATACGGCATTAACTGTGTTGGCTTCCTGTGTGTCTCAACAGCACCATGTTCCATACAACTCCACTGGCTTTTGCTTTTTCTCGAGGAGGCCAGGTTCTTACTCACCTCCTAGCTTTAGGATTTGCTTTTCTCTCAGCCAGTGTACAGTGCAACCCACCTTCCCACCATCACAGTCTGATTTGAATGGTTGTTTTTCCCTGGTACTCAGTGCCAGTTCAGATGCTACCTCCTCAGAGAGGCCCTCTGAGATCATGTGATCTGTGCTACCCTCTGTTATATCGTTTTGGTCTTTCTCATAGAACCTATTGTGATCTGACATGCTAATGCTCCCTACCACACGTTGTTGGAAAGAACAAGGGCCAGCTGGTCCTCTTCACTGATCTGTCTTTAGTGATACAACAGGGCCTGGCAAGTTATAAATGCTCAATCCAAATTTCTAAAGGTGTGAATTAGGTATGTGTGTGACTTTGGAGTTTAACTGGAAGATAAGGGCCAAGTATCATTCATTTAAGAAGTATTTATTGTTAATATGAAATGGAAGAGAGCGAGTGAACACAGTGCCTGCCATTCGCTGGTCATTCCTCAACGCCTGCAATAGGTTGTTACTGGACCGAGGTTGAAGACCAGTCTCTCACCTGAGTGGTGGGAATCCCTGGCTCCCCAAGCCATTACTGCTGCCTGTTAAATCCCAAATTAGCACAAAGCTGAAGTCGAAATGACGCTAGAAGTGAAAAGCAGACCCTCCGTGGGGAAGCGGGTATCCTGCTTGGCATGTCAGCTGCTAGGCTGATTTCTGACTTCTTATCCACTTAGGAATTCTTATATGATCCCTAACAATTTTATTTTATAGTCAAATCAGGTTAACTATTAATTTACATATTTCAATGTTGGAGGAGATTTTTATGCCACCTATTTCTCAGGTACGCTATGAAATACCATCTCAGGCCCCAAGACGGTTTCTAATTCAGTGTGATGAGACGATTAGTTTCTTAGTTACCCATTCCAGCATTCTTTCCACTAAACAATGCGGCTAAATAAAATGTCCATATGTGTTTTGAGAACTCTTAGAAAATAAATTTCTATTTTCTAACATATAATTCCCAGCTTCTTTCGTTGTCGGGGGTGGGAAGTAGGAGAAGGCTGGAAGCCAATGGCAGTAATGATTTACATTCTTTATTAGGATTAAATTATTGGGTCCTTGAATAAGGAATGTTACTATTTGTTATAAAAATTATATTCAAAGACAAATTGTTTAAAATTGTTTCAACAAATTACAGTGTTAAATCTAGAATAGCAATAATTATCAGCATGTTGAATATTATTCAGTGAAGTGATTCATATTTTTATATCATTAAGAGCATTTTTTGTTCATTAATGTAAGCCAAAAATACATTACATTTTATCTTCTCCATGTTTGTCATACTTTAATTAGTAATCATAGAGCAAATATTCTGTAGCTAACACCCAGCAAAATTTATTATATTTAGAGTACAGCTGTGAGCAGTTTTAATAATTTCCTGAGATTACATTGCTAGTGATGGCACACTTTACTCCCAAAATAATTTCTTTTAATGATAATCTTCACATTTAGCTTTTTAAAAACATCATGGCATGATCCTCTCAATTGTGGCCTGTTTCACGCGTGCCACTTTTAATATTGTGTCAAATCTCCACCTTAGGAATAAAAACACTGGCCTTTTACACGCACCTCTGCTGACCCATATGAATAAAATTAAGGGATAATTTAAAGTTTGCTCTATCTACTTCTCTGTTTTTTGTTAGTTTAAATTTCACTTTGAAAGAGTTTTCCGATAAGAAGGTTTGTCTTTTTGTTATATGCGCAGCATAACTCTGACCCATCTTCTGGGCATTTTTTTTTCCTTCAATTGGGATGAATTAATTTTAAATATTGTGGCAACTAGATGCTGCTATAAAAGTTGAGCAAGTGTTTGCGCTTTCCTTAATTTACTGAAAGACATCTACACCATTTAAATTGTTCTTGCTTCACATTTTCTATGTTGGCAGGAGTCCCGACCTTACTAATAATGCCTTCCTTTGCTTATGTTATTTAAATAAGATTGCTAAGTGTGTTTGCATTTTGTTGTGACTGAGAACCTCTAGGGATACAAATATGGGAGGATATTTCTTAAATGTCTAGAAATTTTGTCCACAGAGTGAGTTACCGTGATGCTCAAAGATGGGCTGATCCTGCTGTTCTTCCCACCAGTGCTTCATCATACAGCAATTGGTGTGATTATATACGAAATATTGATTCTCTGCCTGGCGTAGACAGAAGCAGAAATCGGAGTCATCAACGTAACTCTGGCGTTTCATGTATCTTTAACACCTAGATGCACTTTCCTAGGTTATTTATCTTCAGAAATGTCTCTGGCCACAAAATGGACACAAAGATCAGAATTTCATTTTAGCAAAAATTACTCTAAAAATTGTTTCTGAAATGTTCATTGATATTGTTACCCCGTTGGACTCAGCTTTTTAATTGCTGAGATGATCACGTAGTGCTCCTAGGTTCTTCTTAGGGTGTTAGCTATATTTAGAACAGATTTCAAGCTTATGAGCCATTGGATGTTGAATACGCTGTGACTGCTTGCTGTCACTGCTTTCATTTTACATTCTTCTGAGTAAATAGTGATACAGTGGCACGCGGTGTGTGTTTGGTTATATCATGATTGGGGCTGTAATGACTATACCTTAAAGAGTCCACTGTTTTACACTGACAAGTTGTGTTAAGGGAATGCAATGTTGCTAGTCAAATTATTTCTGTTTAGTGCATTTATCCAAATAAGAGAATTGTTCAGGACATTTAAAAATTAACCATGGTGGAATTTTAAAACCTGAGCTATGAAAATTCATTTGGCTTTTATTAAACAATCTTCTTTGAGAAATATCAAAATGAATCCAAGTTGTGTTTTTATGAAACTTGGAGTATTTTTTTTCTCTCTTAGAAAACCCACCTACCTCAAAGAACCAACTGAGTCAATTTTTGAGTTAGATCTGTGCTCCTGAATTTGTGCCCTGAACAGACTTGATCGCACATTCACACAGTCATTACACACTAGCATGTTTGTTCTGTCTTCAAATTGTAAAATATAAGAATAACTTACATAGGTATATCATTGATATTATGCCTTGGTGAATATTAATTTCTTTTTCTGAATATAGAAAATTAAAGAATAATTACAAGGAGAATTCTTTATAACAAAGGTAGAGTGATTGGAGATGAACAAACTGTGGCCAGCTAGAGTAGATGATAATCAAAAGTTGATTTTCTCATAAACTCTGTTGGATGAACCTTAAATATTCTATGTGTAGGGGGCTGGTATTTTGAATCATTACTCATTCAGAATTTAAAGAAAAAAAAACAGTTGATTTAGAAAATTTCGCTTCTTGTTTTAGCCCAGAAATCACAGAGACCTTCAACTGCAAATTTGCCACTTTCCAATTCTGTTAAAAGAGGCTCCAGATGCCTTTCCTCGTCTCCCTTTCAATCAAGAAGAGCAGCTGCTCAGTCACAATCTACAACTGCATCTGAAGTTTCAGAAATTGAAGATCTGGATAATGCTGACCAGAATGAGCCTTTCTCGGATGACACTGCTGATCAACAAACTATAGCAAGTTTGGAAAAAGAATTAAATGTGCTGAGGAATCTGGCAGGTAATGTTGTGGTTTTTTTTACACTGAAGATGATCTGTCCTCTACCTCTTTGTTCATAACCCATACTATGAGAGCAAGAAAAACGGAAAAAAAAGTTATTTTTGCTTTTTTTAAATGAAAGATTTATTTATTTTTCTTTGAAATGCAGAGTTACAGAGAAAGATGGAGAGAGGGTTTCCCTGAAGTGCTGCAGTGAGCAGGGCTGAGCTGATCCAAACCTAGAAGCCAGGAGCTCTTGCAGGTCTCCCACTTGGGTGCAGGGTCCCAAGGACTTGTAATGCCCTCCACTGCTTTCCCAGGCCTTGCATAAGAGGAAAGCTGAGTTGGGAGTGGAGCTGGCAGGGCACAGACTGCAGCCCCATGGAATGTTGGCATCACATGTCGGAGGGTTAGCCAGATGCACCATCACGGTGGTTCCACATTTGCCTTTTTAAATCATCAACTACTGAGCTGTTTTCTTGGGTATTCACTGTTAATACTTCAAAAATAAGTTTAGAAAATGGTGACATGCAGAAGTGCTTTCTCTTCATCCACAGTCAAATTGTGGCAAAGAGACTTTGATCTGCACAGAAAAAAAAAAAATTCTCATTTCTCCTTGACCATTAACGGCTTAATCTTTCAATCAATGCTACTGTCCAACTCACTTGTTACATCATTTAAATCAAGTCTTTTCAAGCTTGGATGTGGGCCCAGATTCCTAGGGGATTCTTGAGAATACATTCTGATTCAGCAGGCCTGTGGTGTCGTTAGAATCTCCTTCCAACACGTACTCAGGCAGCAACACTTTAACCTCTTAGAAAAGCACAGTTTGAGGAGAAGGCACATTGCATCTTCTATTTTAAACCTTAGTAACTATAACCTAGTAAACATGTGTGATCCTAGAAAAGTCTGGGTCAACAATAGACCGTAAATGGGACGTAGTCTTATGTCTTATGAAGTTACCCACACAAACCCTATTCTTTTTAATTTGTAAAATTAATGATTGGAGAAGTTATAAACACTATTACTCTTTACAATAAATGAAGTGACTACTTATCCTAGCACTTTAAACACTTGAACCCTCCCTTGGAGTGACTGTATTGCCCAGGGCTCTGTCCTGGCTCTGCTTCCCAGTGTGGACTCTGAATGGTGGTGATGACGGCTGATGCATGGACTCATGCTGCTCTCATAGATGCCCTGGGGTGTTCCAGTGGCAGTGATGACAGCTTAAGCCCCGTGTTCTTGCCACGCTCATGGACGACTAGAAATGTTTCTAGCCTATACTGGCCACTGCGGACATTTGGGAGGTGAATCAACCAATGGAACTTGTTTCTCTCTGCCCTCCAGAATCCATAAAAAAAATGAATCAAAAAAGCTTTACAGTATTTCAGCCTGCATCTTCCAGAATGAAGAACATTTTGTTATGTACCCAATGATCAGAATGGTGAATCTTAACATTGACCTAATATTCTCTAACCACAAAGGCTTTTTGTTTTGGATACATGACCTCATCCAAAAACCGTGACTATTTACTCATATTTCAATGCATGACACTTTGAGATTTGTTGGCATAATTGAGATTTATTTTAAAAAAATGTTTACAGAAAGAATGAGGGGCAGAAAGATCTTCTATCAACTGGTTCACTCCTCAAATGGTCGTAATGGCCAGACTGAGCAACCTGGGGCCAAGAGGCAGGAGCTTCTTCTAGGTCTCTGGCGTGGCTCAGGGTCCCAAGGACTTAGACCATCCTCAGGTTGTAAACAGCTAGATGGGAAGTAGAACAGCTATGACATGAACCTGCACCCACAGGGAGAAGGTTAGCTAAGGAGCCAATGTGCTGGCTCTAGTTTTCATTTCTTTAGAGAATTTTCTTGCATTCTGCTCTGTGTTTCCCTAGAGATTGTCTTCCTCCTCCTCGTCATCGCCATGTTATGGATTCATGGATTTGTGTTGGTTGTAGAGATCGTTGCTGTGATGCGTTGTTACTTGCCCCTGACACCACCTGCTTTCCTGATACAAAGAGCCTTGGTCCTACTTGGAATCCCCTACAGCTATCAGAGGATCTAATAGTGCTTGGAGCTACAGTGTGGCATCTAGGCACTCCTTGTCGTTATCTGTGGGCTAAAAGACCGGGGAATGAGGACAGGAATAGGCAGCTGCATCAGCCTTGTTGAAGGATCCAGCTGACTTGTCTTTTTTTTCTCCTGTATTCTACGGAGTGAGAAACTTCATTTGACCTGCTTTGAGGTATGCTCTGTCTCTATGGGGACACCTGCAGGCTTGCAATTTCGTTGTTTTTGCTAAAACTTTGTGATAGGTGTGTAGGGGCTGTAAAGGAGTTTCAAGTACTTTCTCCTGGCATTCCCTTCACCTGCTTTTCTCCAAACTAATGAAGCATTGGTGCAATTTGTAAGTTATTTTGTTTACTCTCATTGTCTGCTTCTATTTGTGGTGTTCTGTGCATCAGGCGGGCAGCTGGGTTGACAGAAATTGCATCAAGCCATGCCTCGGTGTCTCTTGCCTGTGTGTTCGGTTGACCTTTGTCAGGGCTTGTCATGTGACTGTAAGAACCTTCTGTTCGATTCCTTTTACAGTGTTATAATTTTGTTCTTATCTACTTTGCTAGGGAATTCAAGAGAAAATATTGTAATATGTATTTACCTGTGTAAATCCCAGAGGCAGACCTCACATTTAAAGGCCATTTTTTGTGATAAGGCATATCAACTCTGACTTTGATCAGAAAGTTCAGTATCGAGTTCTGGCTTCTATTCTCTCCTTTTGAATTCTTGTTTAATCAGAAGAAAACAGACTTCCTCCGTTTTCACAAGTGCAACTTTTGCATGTGAAGGCAGGGGCTGAATGGCCTATGAATGAGTCCTTGGGGTTTTCTGAAGATCTGGCTTTTCTTTCACCCAATTTACGCAGGAAAGTTTCCTTTGTCTTAGGAAGATTAACTTCGGGTGAGTCCATGTCTTTCAGTGAGAACTTACCTGGAGTTCTGAGTAAGGAGAAGCAGTGAAGTGACAGGTGCTCTAGGGACATAAAGCTCCAGTCTGGAAATCCCTTGATTGCATACAGCCATGCTTTGTGTAGCATCAATGTGCAGGAACATGCCACCTGCTTTTCATTTTCCTCATGCAGACTGGAGAGATTCTTCCCGGGTTTCTTGTAGCTCAGTCACACAACATGCCCCCTGTGCAATTGTAGATGTGCTCACAGACCAATGCAAGCTGCGTTTCTGTGAGCAGAACTGTTCTGGTGTGTTTCTGTTAGTTCTAGGAGACATGAACTTCCTCCTCCTAAACCCTTTGAAAAACAGCTTAGTCAAGGAGCTCAGAGAATAAAAGACAGACAAAAGTTATATTGAGCAAACTGTTTCTCTTTTGGTTAGGATTGTTATGGGCGGTATCAGAAAACCATTTCAGCATTAGCTGGTTCGGGCAGAGGGATGTGTGGGTGTGTAGGTGTGCATACAGCTTCCCCATGAACCAGGAGAAGGCGACAGCGAAGCAAGGTGGCTGAGAACCAGGCTTCAGGAGCAGTGTGTCAAGACGTCCTATTGATGTTCTAATGGTTTTTTTTAAAGATTTGTTTTTTTCATTATAAGCACAGATTTACACAGAGAAAGAGATAGAGAAAGGGCTTCCACCCAATGGTTCACTCCCCAAGCAGTCACAATGGCCAGAGCTGAGCTAATCCGAAGCCAGGAGCCAAGAGCCAGGAGCCAGAAGCTTCTTCTGGGTCTCCCACATGAGTACAGGGTCTCAAGGCTTTGGGTCATCCTCTCCCAAGACCAAAGCAGGGAGCAGGAAGGGAAGAGGGACATTTAGGGTATGAACCGGCACCCATATGGGATCCTGGTGCTTATCAGGCAACGGCCTTAGCTGCTAGGCTACCGTGATGGGTCCTGGTGATCTAATGATTTGTAAGTTACCTTTAGGTTTCATCTTCTCTGAATATGTTCTGTTATATTAATTAGCTGGAACTCAAATGTCTTAGCAGAGACTTAATGACTTAAAGACGAGACTTAAAAATGACTTAAGAGAGACCTTCAGTTGGAATTTTTTGGAGTTTAATGTTGCTACTGAAGTTTAGAACAATGTGAATTAAAAATGCTAAAGTGTTTGATTTTCCATGTAAATATTCCCTTTCCTTAGCATGTATAAAGATCCTGGCATGCCTGACTTTTATCTTGTAGAAAACGAGATGAAAGAAAGCTTAACAGGAGTTAAGCTTTAGGCTAGAGTTAGGTTCTGTAACAGTGGTTTCCGATGTTGGCAAGATAACAGAGCTCAGACCTATTTCCAGCTCCAGCAGTGATGGTTCTTTGGTGTTAGCAGGTGTCAGTTCTCTACGGGGCACCCCAACCCTACCTTCCTATCTCTAAGTAGTGAGGACAGGGTTAGCTAGGGTGTTGCAAACACCTTAGCTTGAGAATATTTTCTTCTCTTCGAAGTTAAATGTGCAGTTATCTCAAGTTTAAACATGAAGCGATAAGGCTGTCCCGAGTGTTTCAGAAACGGAAGAGCAGCAGCCTCATCCTAATCCCAGGGAATTCATCTGGGACACTGAGCTCAAGAAGTTTTGGGATGGTTTCATGTTAGGATTTTGCAAATATGTGGAGGTCTTTCTTTCAAGAGTGTACATTAAATGCAGCCATCACACCTTGCCCAGAAACTTCAACTTGATTAATAACAAAAGAGAAAACATGAAGAAAAGGGGAAATGAAATGTTTTATTGATTTAGAATAAATATAGCTGCATTGATGTTAGTGCCTTGTAACTTAGGGAGAGTTTACTTGGCTGTTTCACGAGCAGGGAGAAAGAAAATGCTATCTAGCAATCCTGACAGTTTAAAAAGTTTCAACAGTACAATTTAATGCATACATTTAAGAACAATGGGAAGGCATTGTGGCCTTCGTAATGTGGTAATAGGTGCTTAATTCTTATTTGAGTGGGTGGGATGGATGAGAGAGAGAGAAAGAAAGGAAGAAGAAAGGAAGGAAGAAAAAGAGTGAAGAAATAGAGATCTGTCATCCGGCTCATTTCCCACACCCCTATGATAGCTGTAGGGTTGATGGAAGCCAGGAGCCCAAACCTAATTCTGGTTTCCCATGTGGCTGGCAGGAACTCAGCGACTTGGGCAACCATCACTGCCTCGCAAGGCCTGAGTCAGCTGGCAGAAAGCTGTGGTCAGTGTTCAGGGCCATGTTTAGAATGCAGCTTCACTGAGAAGTGCTTTGGCATTTTAGTTGCTGTGCTGAATATCCACCTCAGTAATATTTATTTTTGTACTTGAATTTTTTCATTAGTTTATATGTATAGCACGTTTGACTAAAGAATTCCTTTATTTAATTTGGGTTATTTGTCCACACCTAGCCTGAAAAATGCACAGGCCTTGGGAAAAGCAGGGATATTTAAGGATGTTCCTCTTTGAAAATAAAAAAAAAATTTTTTTTAAACTTCCAACAAAGTAAGGACGCCACAAAAAGAGAGCAGCTCTGCTTACCTTTTGCTTGGACTCGAGCGATAAAGCCATGCCAGAGAGATGCTCTGAATGATATGGAAGGTGCTGACATGCAGGCCAGTACAGGGGCTTCTTCAAAGAGGTTCACCTGACTGACTTTCTGTGATGTCCCACGACACTTTCAGCAGTGTGATGTATACTTAAAGATGAGTGTGACTGTGGCAACACGCTCTCCAACGCCCTCACCTGGACTCTGCCAGCAGGCATAGAATGGAAAGCTGCGGAGCTATCTGAAGTCTGGCCTTCACTGGTTGTGGTTTGTTCTTGCACCAAGTGCTACGGATTTGTGTCTCAAACTTGTGTCTCAAACGTATGTGTTGACAATGCATGAAACTAAATGTTTCAGATCCTTCAGAAGAACATTACAACGTAGCCTCAGAAGGGTTGCCAGCTTCCAACATCCCTTCATTGACTCCAAGTCGGACTTCCGGGGGTCTCCTTGCTTCCTCACTGGAGAGGGCGCCCTGTGGAGTTGAGCAACTAAGGTGAGTTAAGTCTGTCCTTTCTGTGTAAATACATTACAGAGTAGATTCTGGTGATGCCCAACTAGTTATCTTTACTACATAAAGAGTTGTTGACCTTCCTTGTGTGTTTTATGTTGCTATTTTTCCGTGAATTTTTTGGGTCCTTTGTTGACCTATTATGAGGATTTAGAAAGAGTTATGAAGTTATTATTTCAGTATGAACAAATAGTTCTTTGCTGCCTAACATGTATCATAAAAATGTCAAGGCATTTGTAATTTAATAATCCTTCAGTATTTCTCTTACAATGAAAAGCAGTCACCTAAAATTTCATTATTTTGCTTTAAAAAAAGCTTTTCTGTTGTATATAATTTTGGAACATAATAGAATTTTTTCCTGAAATGCTCTAGATTATTAATGCTATTATTTGTGTCATTTTATTATTTCCCACATTTGTAATAACTAGGATGATGTTAAGTTTGTGAAGAATGGTTTTTATCCTAACGGAAGTTTCAGAAAAGTAGACTGCTATAAAATTATTATTGACATGAGGCTTTTTTTTTTCCAGTAAGTAGGAATAAATGCTAAATAGTAGCTCCTTGTATTGTAAATCCCTTTGACTGGTTGAAGTATAAAATAGCAGCAACATGAAATAAAGTTTGTCACTGTCTTTCTGAAGGAAGAATTCATTTAAATAAGTCACATACTGTTACTGCCATAACTTTATATTCTCTTTTCTTGACTACTAAAAATATTATCATAGATCTGGGTTGATTTGTGATCGGGTTTAACCTGTGTTGGGCATTAAAAATGATCCTTAGGATCATTTAAATTATTTAGTATTTTAAATTATTTTAAATTATTTAGTGGTATATACAGGCTAGAAATCTAGATGAAGCAGGATCCCAAAGTTGACATAACATAGACTATTTCAAAGTTCCTCACATTACCTCTGTAGGGCCAGGACTTCTGCTAATCCATCCCAAAATAAAATGTAACAAAATAAAATAAAAAACAACTGGAGTCATTAATTTTGGCATTGGCATATCTTGACTGGGACTCACATAGTCTTAATTCATTGTATACAAAAGAGGTGATTTATATGGCTGTTTATTCATTGGGATCCTATTAAACAGCCAACGTCATGATGAATGTTCTTAATGGTGACCCCGAGGCTCTGCAAGATCCTGAAATGCCTTCTGAATCATCTGTGAAAGGCACAATGTGAGCCCATAAAATCTGTGCTCCCTGGTTCCACTGTGGCAGTATTTCTTGGGAGAATGAAAAGAATTTCTTATTAAAACGAGACTTACTATATTGGGTACATTGAACACTATGGTTCCGGCCTGACACATGCCTTTCACATCTCCCTGCCTCCATCAACTTCCACATATATAGTATTGATCAGAAGACAAATGAAGAGTTGAAACCTGGTTATGTATATAGTATATTGATTCTTGAATATATTCCTAGCTCTTCTGGAAATTATACTGAAATTCCGTGTACACTGTCACTTTCTGAGAGCAGTACGGATGAGGAAGAAGAGTTCCTTGATAAGTAACAAGTCATCGTACTACCGTGGTTGAAGAATACTTCATGATGCTTTGTCCTTTTCTCTTCTGTGTCCAGAGTACAGCATACAACAGAGAAAAATGAAACTACTAATTACTCGTATGGGTGCTGGATATTTTGATTATTGATGTATCGAGGCTTACAAAGAAATAAATGTTAGTGAAATTACAAGGTTAACAGATTTTTCTTCCACACTACAAATTATAGGTCCAGTACTAATCCAAATTGTAGGTCATATTAATAAAATTTGATGAATTGTAAGAGTAGTTATAGTGATGTAGTCCGTAATTGAAATCTTTTTTTCTGTTAGAGTGTTGGCATTTACAGAAGCTCTAGTAGCTTCAAAAGTAAATGCAAGTAGAAAAAAAAAACCTAAAATATGAAAAAAAAAGTAAATGCAAGTAGGAAAATGACCCCAAATAAGATGTACTGGACATTTGTCATCCTGTGCTGTAGAGCACAGAGAAGATCATACAGATCATACTGTGGTAAAGCCAGTACAATGGCGAATCTTGGGTGTTATCTTTGCTGGTCTTTTGTAGTGATAGTGTTTATTTTCTCTCTTCCATCTGGTGGTTGACTCCGCAAGAGCCCATAAGGGGGTCTTAGCTCATCTGAAGCCAGGAGCCAGGAGCTTCCTCCAGGTCTTCCACATGGATGCAGGGGCTAAAGGACTTGAGCCATCCTTCCAGTCCATAAGCAGGAAACTGGATCTGAAATGGGGCAGCAGAGACACAATCTAGTGCTCTGTGATGTTGGCGTTGCTGATAGATAATTAGCTTGTTGAGCCACTGGGCGGGTGGGTCCCTGCCTTGTAGACCTTTTACCTTTTTAGAGATTCACTATTGTGTGTGTCCATTTCTTAAGTGCCCCATCCTTATCATCTCCCATTTACTCAAGTGTGTGTGTTGCTCTTCAAAGTCTTCAATATGGTCAGTTGGAAGGATTGACAGTGAAATGCAATGACACACTTTTTGAAATGTTTACTTGTGTTGTCTAGTCGTGGTTTCTCAGATGGGTGTTCAAAGGCTTATGTAATCACAAGATTCAAGGATTTTAGAAATGTGAAAAAGTAAAATAAAAAATGGAGGGGTTAGCTTTGTGGTTACTTTGTGCCAGTTTAGAACAATTATTTCCCTGAAGCTTGTTGACTTATCAGCAAAAAAAAAAAAAAAATCACTGAGCATTGGCTGCTTGGCCTTAAAATGACTGTGCCTTTGATTCATGCTCTCACGTCCTCTGCTTCTGGGAGTGACCCCTACTAAAAGATTGACAATTGTCTAGTATAAATTTGTGTTTGATACTTTTACCAGTTCATCAATAAATTGTACTGGAACTCACACATGTTATTCAGTGACTGGATGGAGAAAGACCATAAAGATATCAATATTGTTTCTATATAATTTAATATCAAGATGGCCTTTATTGAATTGATTAATGTGAGTGGACAATAAGCAATCAAGACAGTCATATTATCAGAATAAAATGTTGCAGTGGAAATAAATGTGTTTAAAGAGTGTGGCTCATTGATCATTACTCTGCTTTTAACACTTCTGCCACTGTCCACTGGAAACATATTGAGTTCTCCTTGCATCTTCATCATTTGTGTCAAAAATGTTTTTGGAAACTTTTTCTGAGGTTGATGGCTTTCTGAATTTTAGTATCTGTAGTTGAAAATGGTAAGTTAGGCCTGGCACAATGGCTTGGTGGCTAAATCCTCACTCTACAAGCACTGAGATCCCTTTTGGGTGTCAATGTGTGTCCAAGCTATTCCACTTTCCACCCAGCTCCCTGTTTGTGGCCTGGGAAAGCAGTTGAGGACAGCCCAAAGCCTTGGGACCCTGCACCTGTGTGGGAGACCAGGAAAAAGTTCCTGGCTCCTGGCTTTCAAGCCAAGCTGTGGCCATCATGGCCGCTTGGAGAGTAAACCTGTGAACGGAAGATTTTTCTGTCTTTCCTTCTCTCTGTAAATCTGATCTGCCATTCCAATAAAAATAAGTGTTTTAAAAACAATGCTCTTTGGTTAACATAGGAAATGATACAATGGCATCTTTTTTTTAATGTATCTGCTCCATTGTCAGTTTTCTTCAGTGCCTACTATCTTTGGCTTTAGGACACCATTTTTGCTTTGTCATTGTTCCTTTGGGTATGATTCATGGAATTAGAGTGCTTTTCTCAAGGTTAAAAGGACATGTCTTATTTTTGTTGGGACAACATTGATCCACTGCTATTCCTTTGTGTATTCAAGTATATTTTGAGTCCTATGAACTAGCTCAGGGGAGTTTAATGATGCCGTTAGCTTTTACAATATAGTATATTTGAAATGAATATTACATTGATGCATCAATGGCCAAAACCTAAGAAGCATGCCATTAATTTTGTCATTTGATGTCCGGTAGGACACTGAAACATGAGAATCCCTCTTGGCAAAGCAGAGCATAGACCCCCTTCTGCCTCTGTTTGCTTCCCGAAACCACACATTTATAAAAGTTCCTTAATTCCATTGCCATTAGTCTAATGAGGAAATAAGAGCTCAATAAGATTAGAGCCTTTGCCCAAAGCTGCATCATTGTTTTCTCTCATTTGGAAGCTGGAGCTTAAAATTGCGGTTGAAAGCACACACCTAATTCTCTGGGTGGAACTAAGAATGCTACAGACGTTCCAGAAAAACTCCAGCCCTTACTGATGCTGGAGTTAGTAAAGTGTGCCTCCAGGAAGTATGGGATGAATGACCTAATAGTTGCACGTTAAGCATGTTGGGAGTTGGTAGACAATACACACACTTAGCTCGTGCTATTATGGCCGCAAAAGATTCTTTACTTTTAAAGCTCTGTACAGAACATGGAAGAAGCAAATTAGTATTACATTTCGATAGTTTTAAAGTTTTTTTTAAAGATTTATTTACTTTTTATTGGAAAGGCAGATATACAGAGAGGAGGAGAGACAGTGAGAAAGACCGTTCATCTGATGATTCATTCCCCAAGCAGCCACAACAGCCAAAGCTACGTTGACCTGAAGCCAGGAGCCAGAAGCTTTTCCGAGTCTCCCATGCAAGTGCAGGGTCCCAAGGCTTTGGGCTGTTCTCAACTGCTTTCCCAGGCCACAAACAGGGAGCTGGGTGGAAAGTAGGGCCACCAAGATTGGAACCGGTGCTCATATTGGGATCCCGGTGCGTGCAAGGAGAGGACTTTAACCACTATGCTATCGTTCCAGGCCCAGTTTTAAAGTTTTTATCAATGTCCACTGAAGTCATTCTTGCCTAGTGCACTCTGTCACACAACTAAGACCACTGGCATTACACTGTCTCAAGTTCATTTTCTATGCTCTGCATGTGACATGCATAAAAAAAAAACAAAAACAAAATTTTTTGGACAAATGTATGTTATATAATGCTATCATTGCTGCAATAGGGCACTCAGATGATTTAAATAATGCCTTGATTCAGAAAAGAAAAAAAACCATTTCTTACCCATTGATTGCATTTCTAGAGAATCTTGAACTGCTCTCATCTTTTCCTGTTTTTGACACATGCTGTTTTTCATTTCTTAGCTTTCAAAACAGACCTTCTCAGAGAGGATTTCTCTAATTTTGCTACCGTTAGGAGCTGCAGACTCATGGGCCTTAGACTTGGCATGCCTGACAACCTGCTGCATTGCAAGACCTGCCCTGGGCAAGCAGGGTGGCAGTAAGCAGGATATTGCAGCCAGTCCATCCCGTGCAAATGAAGCTGAGCAGAACCTCTGCCCTTGTTCCTGTTCAGATAATTAGTTCCTCCCTGTTTCAATATAGTTAGTTCCTCCCCTGTTTCAATATAGATGATTAGTTTCAGGAAACTCCTCCCCTTCCCCTCTTTCCCTGGAGAAGAAGGTATATATATGAGGAGTAAAACGAAGAGCTTCGGGCACTCTCTCACCAGGTACATGTGTCTTTGTGTTTCTTGGGCCAGCAGCCCAGCATTCCCAATCTGCCCTCAGGGTTTGAGCGTCGTGTCCTGCATGTCAGGACAGTCTACAAATTTGTTGCCCTTTTTCATTTTCCTTTATTCTTTCACATTGTGTCCTACTGTTTTTCCTTTGTATCAAGCATGATTGCTAACATACATGTGTGTGTTCTGAACGTAAGTCTGCCTGTTAGACAATATATTTTGATAGAGCAAGGTTTACATTTCTTTCACGATTGAACACTTAGCTGCTGTCAGGTGCCTCACTTAGACTGGGAGAACATGAATGAGTTCCGTTAGTGTGCAAGGAAGCACCTGATAGCCACTTCAACACTGACTTTCCTGATGAGACACAGCAACAGACGCACTTAGAGTCAGATTCTCAGGGTACACGATTGACTAGTCTTAACACTACTTACTTGAACTTATACTTTTCATTATACAGTGCAGAAGAAAGATACAGACTCAACTTGGCTCCAAAGAGTGCTGTGCAAATCCAATGGAGTGAGAAATGGCAGAGTACTTGGGCCTGGGAGGTGCTATGCCATGCTTACTATTTTCACATTTTTTGAGTTATGAGGCAATCATTGAATATAAAGATGAAATAAAAAGCGAATGAGAGAGTTGGATGTAGGAGAAAGTGAGAAAATATGATGTGCAAAACCTCTTAATTCCAAAAGCAAAGGATACCGCCACCGATTTTAGACAGAGTTTGATGTGCAGTGTTGCTGTTTATCTTAACAGCTATGTGTCCAAATTTACTTTATTAAAGATCGTTCTGAGATTTTTCCATATGTGTTAACTTTTACCATGTGTATACTCATAGTTTTAAATACTAACATTGTACCACTGCTTATAAGCACCCTGTACAGCATGCTGATATAGAGGAAAATTTAAAAAAAATACAATTTATGTCTCCCCAAACCTGTTTTATAGGATATGTTGTCTCATAATAATTTTCATGCCTGGTTATTTATTACTAGCTGCATTTGCATAAAAACAATGTTTATTTCCTCAGAGTTCTTCTGAGTCTGTAGTTTATCCTCCTCTTTGAAGTCATAATTCTTTGTTAGTGACACCATGATTGTTTGCTGGGTAAATGATTATGATGTTACAAACAAGATTATGACTTTAGCTGGGGAATCTCCAGCAGGCAGAGATTAGCTATAAGGAAATAAAGATTCTGCTTGCTCAATGCCAATATCTCCCATATTTAAGGAAAGAGCAT